GAATGAACTAAGAGTATGGTTTATATACAGTATGTATGAAAAAGTATTTGTAAAATTTTACTGATCACTGTTCACTGAATGTGAGTTTAGATCATTCCTTTTTTTATGTGATGTTTCTAGGTAAGTGAAACAGACTACTGTCTACTTTTTGGGGAGTACTACTGCATATGTGAAATAATTTGTAAAGAGCCTTTTGTGGTCCCAAGGGAAACCAACTCAAATGAAACCACTTGACTTAGTGTCAGCTGGGTCTGAAGACTACAAATGAAAAAAAATTGGGGGTGTAGATTTAGAAAGAGATCACTTTACCAGACCTCTCTGGCCTGTTTGAGGCTACATTAGTTGCTATTAGCTTAACACCAAACCTCTGACTTATTTGTTGAAGGTCGATTTGAATTGTGGGCAATTTAGATCACCAGATTTTGACAAGGAAGGGGAATTAATGAAATGAAATAAAAATGAAGATTTCTGTATCAGTTGAGTTGATACCAACCTTTAGTCTTTAGTCTGATAATAGGAAATTCTCATCCTGTTGGGAAAGTTTCTCTACGATACTGTTCATCCAAGGAGAAGAGAGTCCTCATCATTGAAGCCTTTTTTTCTCATACAAGTGAAACATGAAATACAGTAATATGCAAAACCCATTTTTGGTTATCTTGTCTATCAGTCGCTGACTCACACGTTCTCCTGTCTTGGCTCTTGGAAGTAGTCCGGATCTGACAGCACTTTTCAGACAGTCTTTACCCTCTCTGTAGAAGACAGAGTTACGCTGGTATTTTCTCCATTCAAAAAGAATATCTGATGCTGTGAACATGTAATTGTCTTGTTCTGGAATATAAGACAACCCCCTAAACAAACAAAAAAGTTTTTCATTACATGTGAGAAATCATAATAATAACTTCATAAGCATAAGTCCTAAAGTCTGAATGATATAAAATCATCATAATCATAGTCATATCCAGAAAGATTACCATTTTTTTGTGAAGTTTCAGAAAACCTGACTCTAGACTATGTTGTGTGGCTTACCTAAATCACTCTCGATTTAAGCTCTGGCACAGGAAGTAGAGTGGGTCGTCCACTAATCGGAAAGTCAGTGGTACAATCCCTGGCTCCTGTATTCCTTTCCTATTCCTATCCTTTGGCAAGATACTGAACCCCAAATTACTGATGGCTATGCAGTGTATGAGTTTGTTTATGGGAGTGTAAATGTAGCATATATTGTAAACCACAAAAGCACTATATAAGTACAGTCCATTTACCATTTTCCATTTATCTTGACCTGGGACTCCTCTGGGTTCAACTGTAGTTCAAGTAAAGAGCTCTGACGCTATCGTCAAAATGTTTATGGATATAGCCCCTGGATGGTATGGGTCCATTGAGTAACTTTGAGTGAAAAGTCTGACCCAGTCACTGATTGAGACTGATTCAAAGATTCTTTAAAGTCTTTAAAACCATCTGGAGACCATCTGGACTTGATACAGTTTTTTGTATGTAAATTGATCTCAGACAGTGTACATTTTACCAGTTCAGTGTGAGGGATAATTAGATGTCCACACATGCCTATATTTGTTACAGAATGCACTGCAGCAATTGCTATGTGTGAAGATAAAGAGATCAGACCCTCATCTTCAGCTAGTAAAAACCCCATTGAACCCATATAGGGATTTCCCTTCTTAAGGTTTGATTCCCATCTGAAGAGCTGTATTGTCTGGATTGGGACATGATTTAGGTTTCTAAAGTGGCAGTACTGGACCTGGATCCCAACTTGAGGTGGAGCAGTGGGGGTGTGAAGTGTCTCTGAAGTGCTGAAATGACAGCTGAAGTCTAAATGCTGACAGCAACTAGATTTCTGGCTAAGAGAAGTCAGGGTGAAATCAGATCAGCTGAAGTGAATAGTGGGAACAACCAAAGACAGCTGATTGATTGGCAGTGCAGGATTTGCATAAATAAGAAGGCGGCATGTAGCAGTAGTCTACCTGAAATATATGACTTTTTGCTTTTGTTAGATTGACACAAAAATTATACGATTGACACAGCATGTCAGGCAACTGTCAGCATAATGGCTCGCTTGATTGATTTGTTGGTTTAAGTGTACTAGAAATCTGACCCCTCTATGTGTTTTACTGCAGCATTTTAACAGAAGGTAAAAGTCAGTGGACTCCATAAATGAGAAGAGTCTTCACTACACAACACAAGAACAGTGGCCATTTGTGAAACGTGCTGTTGACATTTGTGGTTTCCAGAAGATGTATACTACTGACTTTGGCAATCTTCTGATGTTTAGTGCCACCATGAGGTTGACATTTCTAGTTCTGAGTAAAATGTGTTGATAACCATTGAATCGATTATCAAGAAATGTATGTTTATGTTTGAAACAACTCCCTTTGCTCCGGTCAGGACTGTTATGTCTCATCAAGGACGTGGGTGATTAATGCAGAACGTCCCATAGAACAGTTCCAGGAAGCAGCTGTGCACTACGGTTTAATGGAGGTGGAAAAGTGAACTAGATGTACATTTGAAAAATCAACCAGTTAGACTGCAAGTCTTTCTATGGTAGGACTGCAAAATACCATTTGAAAACACTATAGAGCCCAAAAAAGCATAAATCTTACCTTTGTGTCTATTGTTGAAAGGGCTGGTGGTCCCTTTACCTGTCATTTACCAGCACCATCAGGTCAAATTTTTTATCTGTTCAGTTCTTTGCTTTATGACCAAATACTTGCAAATAAACTAATAGTTAGCAGGTGCTAGCATGCTAACATGCTAAACTAAAATGGTGAAAACTATCGACATTATGCCTGCTAAAAATTATGTTTGCATCACATCCTCACAGAGCTGCTAGCATGGCAGTAAAGTTTCACTTATATACTCTGCTGTACATTGTACTTTTTGGACAACACAGTAAGAAAAGACAAGAATTTAATATACTGATACAGTATTTTATATTCTCATATTCATGTAATGTTTCATACAGTAGTTCTAGCAGCCTGTGAAAGTTCTTTGTAGTGCTAGCGTCCCAATGGCTAGTTTGCTAAGTGTGTTGAGATGTACTTGGTCACTTGTCAACCTCTTGGTGGCACTTCACATCAGGGGGTCACCAAAGACAGTAGGATACGTCGCCGCCACAAAGGTCAACAGCATGTTTCACACATTTGAACAAATGGCCACTGCTCTTTTGTTTTTAGTGAAAACTCGTCTCAGTCTGGACTGTGATAGCCTTGTGTGCAGGGATGGCAATGCCAGACAGCATTCCTTGGAGGAACGCAGTAGCTTAGAATGATTGAGCATGATTGAGTTCAAGTAGATGGGTGCAGACCCAGAGGTCACTCTGTAGGAAAGCAATAGTGACTTGGATTTGATTCTGGCAGCCATGGATAGCCAGTGGAGGTCAATGAGCAGTGGAGTGACGTGTCCATTTAGGCTGATAAAAGACCAGATTCACTGCCACATTCTGGTCCATCTGTAATGGTTTCAGTATGCATGAAGGGAGGCTCGCCAGAAGGGCATTGCAGTAGTCGATGTGAGAGATAACCATGGCCTGTGCCAAGAGTTGGGTGGTGTACTGGGTCAGGTGTGGTCTAATTTTTCTTATTTTGTACAGTACAATGTGGCACGGCCAGGAGACAGCGAAGCATGGCCAGAGAAGGAAAGCCGGTCATCAAACATGACACCCAGGTTTCTTCCAACCTTGGTTGCGGTGAGAGATGAAAAAGCAATCTTGATATTGATTTCATGATGGAGAGACTGATTGGCTTAGAGAGGTTTAGTTGAAGGTGGTGTTCCTTCATGCATGTGGATATATCTGAGAGACAAGCCGAGGTCTGCGCCGAGACCATGGGGTCAACTGGTGGGAACACCAGGTATGATTGGGTGTCATCTGCATAGCAGTGATATGAGAAGCAAGGCAAGTGGATAATTGGACCCAAGGAGGTGGTTTGTATTGGAAAGAGAAGGGGCCCCAGTACCAATCCTCTATGCACCCCTGAGGAGAGGGGATGCGATAAGGATGTTTGTCCTTGCCATGACACAATGAGGGAGCACCCAATGACATAGGATGCAAACCAAGAAAGTGCTTTGCCCGAGATGCCTATATCAGAGAGTACAAAAAGAGGGATGCAGTGGGTCACCGTGTGAAAGGCTGCTGATAAGGCAGCGAGATAAGAACTGAAGACTGAGCTGCAGCTTTAGCTGCCCTGGGGGCCTCTCACACAGACAATAGAGCAGTTTCAGTGGAGTGGTCACTCTTAAGGCTCCACTGATTTGGATCAAGGAGGGCATTCCATGAGAGGAATTCTGAGGCCTGCTTGAAAACCTCCCTTTTGATACACTAAGATAAGAATGGAAGTAATGAAACAGGTCAAAATGGCTTGGAGTGCACATGTGGTGGCACAGCTACCAGACAAGAATTTTGACGCACCGTTCTCAGTGACGGGGTGAACAAGAGAAGCGAATTTCATAGGGGTCATCCATACACATTCCAACCATATGCTAGGTTTATACCTCATAGGTTCACAATTAGATGTGATGACTGCAGTCAACTATGGCTTAATTCATAGTAAAACTAATTAGTATGGAATAAGAGGTTACAGAAAAATCAATAAAGTGGGATTTTTGTCAGGTCCAACTATTTGTCAAGAATAATATTTACCATAGATAGATTTTTATGTTGCTCAAAGTGATTATACAGATCAAACAGATGCATTGCAAGCACTGACAGCCTTCACAGAGAAACGCTTCTCACATTTCTCACATGTGTGCAATGCTTACTTACTGAGATAGACCATATACAGTATATTGGCCTAACAAGTCAAGTAAGTCCTCTCTCTATTGTAGGGTTAGGGTTAGACTGTAAAAAAAAAGAAAAAAGGAAAAACATATGTATAGACAGTACACACAAACTGTACACACAATTGTAGTAGAGTTCTGGCACAAGCACAACAGTTCACACTGCGAAGAAAATGACTGCACAATCTGATGCTCTGTTGCTTCTGTTTCTGTAGGCCTGTTTTTGCTAGCGCCTGTTATGGCTTCGACGCCAGCCAGCATGTGCACGCCCTTGAAGACACTCAACGACAGCCTCAGCCACAGGCGACGGTACATGGTGAGAGAATGATGGCATGCTTGTATCCATGTGGATGAAACTGTACAGTCAGTGGTACTAATGTCTGGACCAGATGGGGAAGTCAGAGAAGAGGAAGTAAAGTTTTTTTTACTGCAAAATGTCAACTTCAAACAAGTACACTCTTAATATACTCATCGGTGTATATGTTTGGTATATTACTGCGGTCTTGGTGAAGTTTATGACTTCCAGCCATTCCCAGAATGACTTTTGCTGATCCTTGCCACTTAGACAGTAATATAAAACAAAACAAAAGCAAAAGGGACTTTTCAACAGAAATTAAAACTTTTTTTTTTTCAACTGAATTTAAACGGGGACTCCATCAATTTAGCATTGCACTTCCATTAACTCACTGGTGCAAGACAAGTTTTAAAAAGAATGGTTAAACTTGAAGCAGCAAATGCTGACATATTAAACTCTCTTTGCATGGTAAACAATTTAAAACTATCTGCCCCTAGGTTTTATGTTAGAGATGTATAGTCTCCTAGCTCAAGTTGAGATAACTGTGATGACATCACTATCATCAGACTCATACTCCTTATGACAATTAAACTCACTTTGAAGTGTAAAATCCTTTTTTTAATGGATAATATTTTATATAATTATTTTAAGTACTGGTAATAAAACAACGTGCATATACTAATAAAAATACATAACTTGTGTAATGATTTGAGTATCCCTTTAACTGGTCATTCTGTGGCAATAATTGTCTCAAACAATGAAGTCAGGGCACAGAAACATGGATCAGTGCCCTTTCTCCAGTCATCATGCAAAGTATCTTGGGTAATTATGATTAGATTGTAATGTAATGAAATGGCTTTTAAAAATTTACTCTGATCGGGCTTACTTATTTGTGACAGATTTGTAACTTCCTTGTTTGTAATGAATTATTATATGCAATAAAATATGACAAATGTTGTTAAACCACTGTATTTTTGGTGTCTTATTAGAAGATGTGGGCCAGGAACTTGTATGTGCATGACCACAAATAAACAAGCACTACAACGATATTGACAAAACATGGGAAAATGATTTATTTCTCCACTGAATGGCCCACATGGGGCCATAATCATTAATAAATCATGACATATTTCTGACTGCCTTGTGTCTTACTGAACAGTCAGGATTTGTGTGATTTTGAAAGAATTTGTGATGATGTGCCAGGTTTGATAGTAAATGTCAAAACCAATTTCTCATAGCATAAAAACCAGTCATGGCTTTTTAAGGGTTTAAAGGAAGCATTTGGTGTATGAAATGCACATGCTAATTTGTGTCTCCCCCTTTTCTTTGTGTTACAGAAGCACAACTTCCCCATCAACTACACCATCAGGGTTCATCAGAAGGAAATCTTTAAACTGTCAAACATCAGCAGAATGGTAAAAATCATGACACTCTCTCCGCTCTCTTTGAGTAAAGCTTGATTTATAGACTCTCTTCCTGTCAGAGGACAAGGTGGATGACATTCCTCAAATGGTGCATGGCCAGACTTCATGTCTGTGACCTTTTTTCTGTCAGTCAAAGGTCCGGCTACATCAGACCAATGCATCTCAAACTGCACCTGAAACTTTTATTAAAATATAGTCATCGTCCCTTTTAAAAAAATTTTCTCCTCTCCTCTCCTCTCCTCATCAGAAGTTACAGGTGGAGGAGTTAGATGAACTTGTTCTCCAGAGGCTGTGGTTCGAGGTCAACCAAGGCGTGTTAAAAAAGGTAAAAAAAAAAAAGAAAAAAGTATATAGTATTGGAATTTGAGATAGGGACCACTTTAAAGTACCAACTAGTCCACAAGTCCACATGTGAAACTTTGCCTCTAATTTGACCTGCTAAAGGACACATGCAGAGCAGTCAGTACTCAGTATGAATATCGAAATGTGTTGGAAAAAAATCCCAAATTCACAAAAGTTTACAAACTGACATTTTGTTATTTGCTTATATTCTGTGTGTCATTATTGTGAGTAGCACAAAGCATGTGTTGAGAACTGTTATTATTATTTACAGTTAAGTTGAGTTGATTGAGGATCATAAAATGCTAACAGCTGAAGGATGTCTGTTGTGCAGTCATTCATTCAGCAGGACAAATTAAAAGCTGTTCCCATGGAACAAGGTTTCTAGTGAAGTTGGATGTATCACAAGAGGGATTGTGCGTCGCCTGTATTTTGAGACACACCAGTATTTATTAATGACACTGTTTCTTTCATTAAGTTTAGTTTAGTTTTTTCAGTGTAGCTCACCCACTCATTCAACCCTTTTGTTTTATGGTTTGAGCATATAAAAATATTCCCTTCCTGTTTCTATTCATTTGAGTTACATGTAGCCTAGTGTCAGTGAGGTAGGAGCTCATGTTAAGTTATTCTACCTTATAGATAAAAGAGAAATTTGCAGGAAAATTAAACAAACAAAATAGATTTTTTTCCTACTTAACTCATTAACTTATTTCCAAATAAACAGAGAAAGAGTATTTTAATTTCTATTTCATGTTACTCAACAATTTCATACTGTAAACTGTCTCAAATAACAGCTTCATATTAGCTTCACAGTATAGCTCATGTAGTGTATGAAGCTTATGTTCGAAATATTTTTTCTTCACCAACCCACTTTTGTCATGTTTCCTTTTGTTTTGTTCCTACATAGATAAAATGCAGCCCTCAGGTGAATCATATGACTAAACCTCTGTCAATCAATCAAGATAATAAGTTGAAAATCAGATGTCAGTCATTCACTGAATGACTGTTTGTTGACCAGTGACCGGTTTTGGCCTTCAGGTAAAAACTAAAGTAATATATGCCATTCACCTGAGCTGCTGACAAAGCCCTGCAGCTCTGTCTCCTGTCTGTTTGCGGCCTCTAAATGCCCAGGGTTTGGGCCCCTGTAATCCTGTGCATTAAGTAGGCTCTAATTGCAAGTAACCATCACTACAGTTAAGTTCTTCTGATGGATTTTCTGTCCCTCTTTTGGTTTGTCCCAAAACCCACACCTGGGGTTTTCAACACTTAGAATGCGTGTTCACACGTCAACACGTATGTGGACAAGTGTGTAACAGTTATAAAAAATGGCAACACCCTTAAACCACACTTGATGCTCACTTAACCTAATACTGCTAAGTGAGTAGCACAGTTCATCACAGTCTGCTGCAATACATCAGTCCATCTGTGCGCAGTAATGCACATAGAGACTAGTTTGCAGATGAAATCAACAAAAAAGTTGTGGACTTCAAGTTCATTACATGTTGGATTCAGCTGGAAAGTACAACAGTTTTAATTTCATTTAATTTGTTGCTCCGATATGTGAAATTTTGGGAAAGAAGCTGAGAAAGGAGCTCTCTGTTTCTGTTAGTGACAAAAGCTCAGTTATGTAACTGAAAACAAAGTCCGCTTTTTACTGACTCTGAATCTGCAGCGTGGAGGACCATGCCCCCATGTTCATTTGTCATTGGTGTTCGTGTTTGTCCCTCATGAGGGCCTGACTTGTTTCCCTGTTGTGGGAAACAGCTGCTACTAGGCTGGTGGGGGTGGTTAGTGGCTCTAGCTAGTAGGCATCTTATGACTTAGAATAAATTTCCAGTTCATCAGTTCCTAGTAGTGTATATAAAATGATTAACGTTTACCATAACTCAAGTGTTACAGTGTGCAAAAGGTTTAACTTATTTTGTATTATGCACTTTGTAGGAAATACTTTCAGTTCCTTACAGTGCAGATTGCGAATTTAGTCCTGCATTTGATCAATCCAACCTTCCACCAACATATTAATTTTGTCGATTTTAGGCATTTACAAAGAAAAGATGTGTATCTTTGCTGTCCAAATTTTCGCCACATCTTAAATGTTGTTTTAACGTAACCAAAAAACTAATTGAAATTTCAGATCATCCGAGTTATGCCAGAGAGACATCCTTCGCGTCCATACACCGCCGAATTGGAAAGACGCTTCAGGGATGCTGAGGGAGTCTTTGTACAGTCACATCCTGCTGAGGTAAGGCAGAGGTCACATATCTGTACCACAGCTGTTGTCACTGCTCGAATGAAGCAATTCAATAAGTGTAAGGGGATATTTGGCAGGAGAGAGATGTCGCATTGATTCTATTTATCAGTATTGGGAATGAATGCCCTTATCATTAGAAAATCCATCACAGCTTCTATTTAAGATCCAAAAAAAGTTCAGTGAAGCTAAATTCAGTACAGCCATTGATCATTCAGTGAATATATATATGAAACATATTTTGCAGGGTAATAAGTCTTATCAGGCATAATTACACAATTCCTTAGGGCCCGGGATTGAAGCAGACAGTGAGTTTAATGTCAGCAGACAGCAAGTCTGGACTGATCACAACCAGATTAGATGTCTTACATATGATATCAAGTATGATATTTGAGATTTCAGTTAATTCTAATGAAATAAAATGAATTTATACAATTTTAACATATAACTGCATCATAACGCAATGTGAAAAATGTGAAATGGTCTGAATACGCTGCATACCTCAGGGACGTCTGCCACTTAGAGTCCTTTTATCTCTTGGATTGCAAGGACTCGACAATTATCGAGTCCCTGCTTGTTACCTCAGTTATTTAATCTAATCAGTGTGTGATCACATTAATGACACTAAATGTCCCTATTCAAGTCCAATTATTTAAAACTTCTGAGAGCAACCTTTACCAATTAAAGGCCTTATAATCAGTTAAAGATAAGAGACTGTCGTTTCTATCACAGCCCTGTTTATTGGCCTCCTGTCATACTTCCTTTGCCCACCAGATGTCCCGGACTTTTGTCCTGTTTCCAGATGCAGCTGCTCACCTGTTACATTTCCAATCACTTGAAATTTCTGGACATACATCATGTCACCATATTGACAATTTAGGTGACAAAGTAACAACTGAATGTCCCACATTTTGTAACTTCACATGTCATTTCATTGAGGTCTTGGGTGCAGGTGGATGTAAGGTGTTAGGGCAGGGGCCGACTAAAGCTGCAGGAGTCACAAGTTCAGTCTGGAAGCTTGGCCATGTTGAGAATTGAAAGCATCTGTTGGTTTTCCCCAAATGGAAATGGATGAGGGAAATGTGGGAAAAAAAAGTGACTGATCGTGCTTTTTTGGCTGCTCAGGGAAGTTTTGAGCTTTGTATTTTTTAAATCATTAATCTTCTGTGTATTAACTCTCATGTGCATGTTTTCATGTGTGTCCAGGTGTTACAGCAGGAGCTTCCAGAGACTATCCAGGACATTTGGGATCGTTTAACAGAAGAGCCTGAGAGAGTGCCAGAGTCCAGCTGGCGATTTGCTTCTCCGAAATCACTCCTAGACAACTTCTGCCACACCATGTACTGCCTCTTCAGCGAGTGCTTTGCCAGCACAGAAGTGCAGCAGGACTGTGAGTATAATATAGTTAACATGTAAAAGTAAAAACAATGACACTGTGGGCTACAACTAAATAGTTTTTTTCCTCATGTGACTGTGATATAATATCAGAGACTAGCACACACATAGAACAAGGTGTGTAAAAAAAAAAACTATTTTAAGCAAAGTAAAAACTAATCATGAAAAGCCATTCCATATAAAGATGTCTAACAGATTTATTACATTAAGAGGATTATCGTGTATAAACTCCCTGGGCAGGACATTCCAATATGTCAGAGTCCTGATGTGAAAGCCTCCATCAGCATATGTTTTTCATCTACATATTGGATCAGCCAGAGAGTTCTACCTCGTATAGGGTTAAACATTTTATGAAACTTAAACAGGTTGAGGTGGATGTGGATTTATTTCATTCAACTTGCACATTCAACTTGCACCTTTGTTAGTAAGAAACAAACTCAAAAAAGCTAATATGGAGTGGACAGGACACTGTGCACCCATAATTTTTTGTTTCTTAGCCCTACTATGTTGCATAAAGCTGGGCTCAGACTAAAGGAGTTTTAAAATCCTAAATGGCTTTGAAATCGGCTTACGTCACGTACAGAGAAACTTCACAGATGTTTTGCTGCTAAATTATGTGATGCTTTTAATTCATTATCCTTGAATTCCAATGTATCTGCTCTCAATCCGCTGCCTATCCATCCTTGACCAAATTACATCGTTTAAAAATAGAAAACAAAAACCAATAACCTCCCCTGGTTGAATGATCACACTCTAAAGACTCTGCAGAAAAGGTTAATGACAACGGAGGGTCAACAAGTCTGAAATAACAAATGTTACCCTTAGAAACCAAATGTTTATTTATCAGAAACCAGTTAAGGGTGTGAGATCGACTTACTTATTATTAGTGGTACCTCTACGTCTTTTCCTGAGCCTGATGTTGAGCTGTCAGAAACTTGTCTTGCTCATTTTGCAGATAAGGTGGAAAATATCAGGTCCCAAATCCAGCCCAATCCTGCCATTCTCTCTATTCCCCCTGTTAATTCTGCCTCTTATACCCAGTTTCAACCCATTACAATTTCACTATTAGAGTATAGTCTCATACATGAACTCTTCCTCCTGCATCCTGGATACCATCCCCACTAAGCTGCTCAAGGAGGTATTTTCCACTGTTAGCCCTGTTATTTCACACATTTTTACCAATTCACGATCCTCTGGTTCTTTTCCATATAGTTTGAAACATGCCATTATTCACCAATTGCTAAAGAAACCTAATTTGGACCTCATTTACTTAAGTTACTGTAGATCAATTTGCAAACTAGTTCTGACGAAAGTGATTTCATGTCAATGGATATCTTTTATGAACAATAATAATGCTTTAAACAGCTTTAAACAGTCTGCTTTGTCTGCTGTACTTTTTGAGGAAGAATTGTAGAGGTGAGTGTAGCGGCAGACCTCCTCACACAGCCTTTCTTCAAACTCAGCTCGCACGTTTTCTGTCACTCTGGGTAACTGTACTTCCTCAACAGCTTAGCTGAGATGTGGTGACCCCCAAGGCTCTGTTCTTGGCCCCCGTCTGAGCCCTGCTTAAGTGTCCTCTCTTGCAAAGCCAATCCAAGCCTTTGATGCTCTGGGTTGTGCTGGAGTCTTTGCCACAAATTTATCCCTGAATTAACCCTCAATCGTTGGAGAAATCTGGATGACTTTGATCATCATTGTTGCATCAGTACTTTCACAGCTGACAGTATTAAAATCTACCCTCCAGTTTTCGCTGAAGAGTTGACAACCCGTGTTGGCTTTATCTCCCCAGACTCATTTAGCCTTCTGCTTTTGTTTTTTACTCACACCAAAGTTTTACTAACATTACAACAAGTCCTTGCACCACAGTCTCCGTTTTGTTTACATCTGCTTCCCCATGAGATCACATGAGATGAGAACATGTGACTTGGTGCATTACCCTCACTGGTCCCTCTGGCATGATAATCTTACTAATATCCTGTAGTATGTGATGTGTCATTATTGTCAAACCTTGCAATGTGTGCATGTTTTAGATTAGAGAGAAGAACATCTGTGAATTTTCTCCTTAGGTCCTTGATGCAACCCGATTTCAAAATCTATTCGGATTTTAAAACTCCAGCAGTATAAGCTCAGCTAAAGTCATTTTTATTTATTCTCATTTCATGCAAGCATTGTGAAATTGTTCCTGTACTTCACAAAATCATGGCAATGGATTCCCTCAATGTCAGAATGTGACCATGCTCAGTGTATTTAATGTTTGGTGACTGAACAAATGACTGCATTCATCATGAAAACAGTGCTACACTGTTTGGTGTTGCCAGACATGCAAAAAGTATTTAATTAGGCAGTCAGGATCTAAAGTCACCTTTAATTACTTTCATACTATCAGTGCCATGCTTCATCTCCAAATATCAAGCATGTATCACTACCACAAAATCTGTTAGCACTGTGCTGCAGTAGCACAAACTGTGGCTCATCAGTACAGCAGCCAACACATGACACATTTGTGGTCTCATCATTTTTTGGGGTGGTTGTACTCTCGCCACAGTGCAAACCCAGTGAAAGGAAGCGCTTTCTTAGCAGATCTGTTTGTTGTCCATTTGTGTAGCTTAACAACACATTAAAAAGGTTCAAACATATGAGAATGTTTACATTTACATATTGGCTCACATTTAATAAAATTTTCTTTATCAGAATCTAGTCACAAACCTTCTGTACAGGAAATCCTCATGATGTGCTCTACTTACACTAACATGTACAGTATTAACATGCTGTATGTTGTTTGTTTATGTATTCAAAAACTGAAGCACAAAAACTAACTGTGCAACAGATGAATTATCTTTGTTGTATGCAATATGATTGCTGTAAGTAAACCAGGACTTCCACTAATAATGAGTAATTATGCTGCCCTGGTCATACCCTCATACACAGGGTAATCCGTCATTGTCTGGATGTAATCGCATATAACGTGTCCAGTTTGAGGCCCTCACATCTGGATTGTGACTGCTCAGTGTAACTGCATTCCTTGAGCAAACACTGGCACATTATGTCTCTCATGTAGGTATTAAAGTGAACTCAGTCAAACTAAAATCTCATGATCTTTTTAGTATCGAATGAAACCACCTATTAAAGATGATTGAGGAAACTTTCCTCTTTTCTTTTTTCCACTCATGCGCAACCGAGGCACATGCATTAGTAGGGTACCTTCTCCTTTGTTTAGTCAGGGGAAGTGGCTGTCTCAAGTTTTGTTTGTCGAGGGAAGTAACTGTTTGAGTGACATGCCAGAGAGCCAGCCAGTAAGATAGCTACAACTGGACTTCAGAACAACAAACAATCTGGGGGAAATTTGTTTGGTGAGGTAATGACTTAAGCCAGGATACAGCAGGAGAAATATGACCAGAGCCTCAGCATACAATGCCATCATTCATCATGATCTCCTGTTATTGCAGCTTATCTGAGTCATAACATCCACTGTGAGTGTGTTTTACTACTTAATGATGGTAAGGGGGCTGGTATCGCGTGAAATAGTTAATATCTTCTATACAAACATATCTACAATAACAAGCATTAACAACTCAAACCAAAATATGTTTAAGAAAACAGCTGCAGTATATCTACATCAGATATAAAAGTACAGTAGAGGAATTATACAAGATTGATACCACTATCATGTCTGCAGCCTGCAGCTCATTAGTTTAGCTTAGCATGAGGACTGGAGACAGGGGGAAACAGCTAGCATAGCTCTGTCCAAAGGTGAAACAAATTCCATTTACCACACAGGCTCTGTGCACACGTGTTCCTCAGATACATTTTTATCGTTTTTAGACAGGAAAAGGAGCACTCTGCTGATGTGCTGGTGACTGGTATCGTGAGCAGAAGCTGAAGAACCATTGTAGGCCTTAGAGAGTGTGCCTTGTATGTCATCAATAAGAAGCTGTACCAACTCTCTTGGTGGCTTGTGAAACAGTTTGTTGTTGTAGCGTGTGCAGCTCATTCCTTCATTTCTGCTCATCAAAGAATGGATACGTATTGATCAGCTGAGCCAACTCACTGCTGGGAAATGCAGCAGGCTTGCAGAAAGATGCAAATCATTTGCGATCCAGTACCCGAAAAAGCTCAGGTGCTGCATATCTGCAACTCCTTGGATCATGTGCAATACTGCTACCTTTCTCACCTAAACAAAGGAACGTTTAACCATTTTGACATTTAAATAATGACAGTACTAATTATATTCATTTTTATCTTGTATGACAGTGAAAATGCCATGTCACAGCAACAGCCCATATCCTTCCAACATAGTGCAGTTTAACAACTACAGCTGCAACTACTTTATATGTGTGTGCTCAAAAAGGTGAAATCTGAGAGGTCGTGCATAAGTTGAGTAACTGTGGTCACATTGCTCATACTGTATATACATATATATATATATATATAGTGAGCCAGGGAAGTAATCCACATTCATAGTATGACCGTAAAAAATGTGGTGGTAGACACGGCACAATATTTCTTGTAACAGTTAATCAGTTTTCAATGGATTTTCTCTTCTTGTCCATTTTACAGACTGTGGTGTTTCCCATTGGAGGAAAGGCAGGAAGAAAGACTTACAGCCGGAAAGCTGAGAAGAGGACAGTGGGGTGAAGTTGTCCATGCTGATACTGATTAGGGATTAGTATCATTATCTCCCTTGAGCTTTAGGGAGAGGAGAAAAAGGACAATGTACACTGAAACGAGACAGTTCAGTCCTGATTTGTGAACATCAATAAATCTTTCCCAAATCTACCAAATAGGGCCAAGATTGTCTTGACGATATGATGAAGTCACCAACCCTGGCATGGCTCCAGCAATCCAAATTTCAGGCATAGTAACAGTATTCAAGATTATTTTATGCATGTATGGATTTTATATTGAAATTACATGAAACTCACGGTGGAATAAAAGCTCCAACTCCTCAGATTTTCCGATTCTCTGTCAGTCAAGATGCCCAAAGAATTTGTGTTTTCATGGCATCACAGACTGATGCTGTGGTATTTGGGTTTCTATTTTTGGAAGAGAATTATTCATGTTCACATATAGTGCATTCGGAAAATGTTCAGACCCCTTCAGTTTTTTCCCATTTTGTTATGTCACAGCCTTATGGTAAAACAATTGAAAAGAAAAACCCAATATATGAATTTAAAAAAAATCTATTTAAACTTAAAAAATAAATAAACTTCCCTCTGGAAGTTCCTCCCATTTCGACACTGGATCTCTGGAGCTCAGCCTGAAAAACTTGAAGGAGTCTGAACACTTTCCAAATTCACTGTATATTGACTAAACTGATATATGATCAATATATTAGACAACTTCTTTTCTAAGTTGGATTCTTTAAGAAGGGGAGTGTGGCGGAAGCTGCTTAATCCTCGTCAGCTAAGGGTTAACTTCATCTGGAGTGAGGATGTCACTGTGGCTTTGCCAAATCCCTGCCCCCCTGTGAGGTGCTCTTGTGTACCTGCACGGTTCACCACCAATAAAAAGAGAGACTACACATTGGATTGTTATTATACTGAAAAACATCAACTGAGTTTGTAACATAGCCAACTTCTCTTCTATGAACGCCTCTGTCAAACATCAGTGAGCTAGAGCGAGAGCAGTGTACATGAACTGAACTGAAGGCAAAATGGTAACTACTGTTTTCTTTTCCCTCTTCAGTTGTTGACTATGCACTATTTAACCTAGAGCCTACATTTAAAGCGTTATTCTACAAGTGTGCTATAGGCCCAGACTGCATAATCAGAAGCTGTTCATTTTTGCTCCATTCCTAGTTCTGTCTTTATGTTTATCCTGCACAAAGACTGAGAGTTGAACAAATTGAAAAACAACATACAAACATCTCCCTCCATCCAAGCTATGCCTTTTATATTTACTAAAGATCTGTAACAGATTTTTTTTTTCTCCAGGCAACTATTGAATATTTTGATGACTCATTATCTGTGCAAAACTTAAAGAGTGACCATTTGTATTTCAAATATGAAGTAGCATCACAGTCAGAATTTGTTAAGTTTATACATTTTCAAATGTAATTGATAAAGATAAACAGATATATTTTTGAGATCATACTTATGTTTAAAAGGCTGAATGATTATAAGGCTCAATGTATAAAGGGTAATACGAATGTGCTGAAAAAGCTGAAGTCAACCGTATTATCAAATGCCATGTCAATGGGATGTGTGAGGCCCACATCAGGACAGAAAAACTCACCTAAACCCAAAACCTGCATCCATGGGAGAAGGCCTTGGGAGATGCAGTTCAAATTACCATTCAAAAATTAATGTGTAAAAATAGTAAAATATAAGGTCACAACTATTAGAAAGCTGAAGTGATGCTTGCATGAGCTGTGAGGTTTTCCCATTTGTGTCCCTTTATTTTATCTGTAGACATACTTTAGCTTTCTGAGATCCTGGATGTGAACACCTCCACTTAAAGCTTTTGGCTGAAAATTAGCTCTTAAACCTCATCGTCTTTGTTTCACTCTTATTCAGTGTACTGGAGTGTAACCAAACCAGTGATGAACCTGTTATTGACCTAATATGATCTGTCTGCTGTGCATGGTGGCCGTATTTGTGTAAAAGGGTCAGTAGACACAAGAAGTAAAAGTAAATGAGTAACAGCTGGGCTCAGATTGCTCAGGTAACCTAAACAAAGTTGCCTAGCTAGCAAGCTAAATTAGCTAAGCAGGTGTGGTTGATTGTATTTGATCTACAGCTACCAGCTCATTCCATTCACTAGCCACTTAACACAAACTTTTGACAGTATTTAGCTTATTAAGGCAAGGGTGAGAATGTTTAGTGTGTTCTGTTGAGTAGGAAATTCAGTCAGCTACACTCAGCAGCATTGTATTCAAGTGCTTGGGACAGCCACTATGGCTGCTGAGGGGTATAGTAGATCACGCAGTGGCCCTCTGTAGTTGTCAGAGTTGGAGTGCATCCTTGATCTCATCTTGTTGCTTGACTCAAACTGCTGATTTCATAAAGTTTAGCCTCATATGTCAGCACTGTGTTTCACAAGTGGTTGTATTTTACATGCCTCACTTGATTATAGATGATGATGAAGTTAGGCTTAAATGCTTATAATAAGCTGAGGATTCTCTTGACGGTTCATGGTCAGAACATGTAGAATAAAGACGTGTGGGTGATGGATAGGAGGGATTTATTTATAGCATATGCGACACTGTAGGCCTTCTGGGAGACATTTGAATGATCTGTGAGGCACTTGGCTTATTTGGGCAAGTTACACTTCCTAAGGCCCAATAAAGAGATTTAAAAAATGGCACATCCTTTTAACAGGTTTATTCCATCAGATTCTGGCTTTTATTTGACGGTTAAATCATCATTTTAACAGAGGAAGTCCTTCACTGTAGGATAGAAAGCTTACCCTTTGCCCTGCTCAGACCTTAGGTTGAAAAAGGCATTACCTTAGCTATTAGGATTAATACATGGGAGTTATAACGTATTTGTTAGCTATACACACTCCCCCGACAAACGACTTTGGTAATAAACATACCATCTTTGACTTTTTTAAGCTTTATATTAAAATGTACCAGGTGCTAAAAGATAAGGACCTGCTTGTCACACAGGCCAAATAAAGGTGAACTTTATCGACAAGAATCGCATAATAACCTGTGAACTTGTCTGTGACCAAGCCTTCGGCTGATAAAAAAAATGTAAACGGAACTTGCTGGAGTGGCGTGAAATGTATTTGTTTCTAGGTGTCTATTTGCTACAAGCATTCAGTGACAGTGAGGTAGGCGAGGTCAGTCGTTTACAGTACTGGGCATCGTCAGGGCTGAAGAATATTTGCTCACTACTTCATGCTTTCAATGTTTTTCTACACCCGTTGTGTTTGCATATGAGTTGCAGCGGTTGTGAGTTTTATCTTGGTGCACCCAGTCAATTGCCTGCAAATCCTGACTTGCTGGTTTAGTCAGTTTATGACCTTTGGGCTAATTGTGTTTATTGTGATAGAATATTTTTTATGCAGTTGTTACCAAAATTAGTTTGAAACACTCAAAATCCTGAGCAAAGAATAAGAATTGGTTATCTTTCATGTATATATTTAAATCCAAGACAACTCAAATTATCTTCTTGTGAAAGCTCTTTCTTTGTATGAAAGTTACACTTTGAGTTTACGCCTTCACTCCTAACCTCACATATGATATACATTCAAGCCTTGCAAGCCTAATTGTGTCACTCTTAAGGAGGGAGAATGATGTTGTTCAATTATTATGTTATATACAGCAATGGGTTGAGCAGCTTTCATAAGTTTTAAGGGGGTTAAACCCAACCCTTGACAAGAAGCTCTATAATGATGTAACAGATAAATGATAATTATTGGCGTAGTTCTATAAATGCAGTGTGTATTTTTATTATACTTTATCGATCATATGTAACCATATGGTTGTGTTTTTGTAACCATAAGAACATTTTAAGGTGTATTCAAAGATCCCTTATTGTGAAAATAAAGTGATATTTCCCACAGCTGACTGGCAACAACAAAGAGATGAAAACTGCAAACAAATGGGTGGTTGTTGTCTGTGGTCTGAAGATAGATTTTAGAAACAGATTTTTTTTTATACACAAGATATTGAATTTATTTATTATTTGGAAATGTATAATGCTGTATAATGCTATGTGACAATACTTTTATGAAAGAAATAAAAATCAAATTCCTATTTTTATCAACTAACCCTGTGTCCAGAGTCTAGTCATTATTAAAGCAAGTTTTTAAATACACTGACATTATTATTTCACTGTGTGCAGTTGTTTTGCATAATAAAATGCAGGTGTTTTGATATTGTGTTGTTCATATTCTTTCTCTTAAACATTACTCATTGTTTATCTTTGATAACATGAAAATGCCCATTGGACCTTTATTGATGAAAAGGTTTCCTGGCAAATTCTTTCATTTCTGAACCCGGCTATTTTAAAGTCTATATAACATTAAATAGTTTCTTTCTTTAATGCTGAATTAACTCTGGAAGTTACAACAGACAACACTTGGTACCTGGAACTAAGACAAAGAATGTGCTTGTGTAAATTGTAGTTATCAAGTTAGAGAGAGAGAGAGAGCTCTTGTCTCCATCACATCTTCTACTGAAGTTAGCATGCTAACCAGCTAACCCCAGCCCGTCTCATCACTTTCCGATAGCGACTCACTGTAGCCTACAATCTGCCCTGAAGAGATAGTGCTGCTCAGAGGGTGTATTATAACATCTTGTCTTATACACGCAACGATGGCTGAAGCTCTTGTCAAGCAGCAAACCACCAGCCGCAAGAAACCATGTTCATCGGCAGAGAAAACTCGTAGGGTACTTCATTGAATACTTTAAGTCTCATCAATGGAAACAGCAACATAAAAAAAAAGAGACACAAGCAGGCTGCAACCTCATTGTAATTATGTTGAGCACTGGTATTTCAGAGTCACTTCTTTTGCCATAAATAGTCCTTATCATTTTCCAAACGCCCGACAGATGTGTTTCTGTTTCTCTCCCATTTTCATTACAGTTTTGTCTCCGATATACGTTTTGCTGATGTAATTGTTTTCTAAACTGTTGCTTGTGCTCTTTTACAGTGGACCAATGTTTTTGATGTGTGGTGGGCTTTTAATTGTCTAAATGCTCTATTTCTCCTTTTAATTGATCTACATCACCACCAGCAAACCTCCTCTTCATACTATCACTACAAGGAACAGGCGATATTTGTTTTAGGCAAATTTAATATGAAGTGTGAAACTGACAAAAGAAGGTAGAGTAAAAAATAAAGGTAAGCTGTGAAGACATATACAGAGGTAGATACATGAGGTAAGTATGCTATGAACAGTGTAGTCACACATTAACACAATACTAGCTCATGAGACCACCCTGAAAATAATTGACCAAAAACATTAAGACAGTAATGATTAACAATAAACTTACAGTTAATGCCACTTAAAGGTCTGCAAACAAAAGCTTGACTGATCTCTGCTTTTCACTGTGCTTGAACAGAAGGAACTTCCTGTCACTCTTCTTCTATGCTACACAGGAATTACAATTACAAGACTACATGCAATATAGCCAGTTTTTGTTCAGATTAAACTGGACACATGTTTATTACTGAGCTTTGGAGATACTAGTAAGTGGATTTGGGCAGAGCTATGCTGTTTCCCCCTGTTTCTAGTCATTGTACTAAGCCAAGCTGATCGGTTGGCTCCAGCTTCACTTTAGCATGTATACATGAGAGTTGTATCAGTCTTCTCATCTATTTCTTGGCGAGACAGTGAGTGAGCTATTCATTTTGATGCATCATGCTGAAAAATGAAGATTTAATATAATTCAAAATAACCATTATTCTACATTCTGCATATATTTAGATTGGCCAAAAAAAAATCTTGTAACATATAATGTGATGAATCAGATATTTCACTCTTTCATGAAGTCTGTGTGTGGTTTGGAAATTACCCAGATAGTATCAGTTGAAAATGCTGCAACAGTGGTCCAAGTCTCTGCGGGTTACTCACAGTTGTATATACGTATATACTGCCAATATGGTACAGATTAACAACTACATCTGCAAGTACTTTGTATGTGACTCTGCAAAAAAAGTGAAATCTGAGAGGAAAGAAAAAAAACAACCCTGGCTTGTCACCATCATTCAAAGCAGACTAAAATTGAAGGCACAGTAACAGTATTCCAGATGATTTTATGCGCATATAAACTTTATATTAAAATTTCTACACTAATTTTGGAGTAAAAAGCTCCAACTGCTCAGATTCTCCAATTCTCTGTCAGTCAACATGTCCAAAGTATTTGTGTTTTCATGGCAGCTCAGACTAATGCTGTGGCATTCAGGTTTCTAGTTTTGAATTGAGAATTGTTCATGTTCACATATATTGACTAAACTGATGTATGATCACTGATTTTTAAATAAATTCCCGTCTAATTGAAGAGTAAAAAATAGGAAAACATTTTTAAAAAACTTAAGTGATCACATGCTTTTATTTATTCCTATTTGTGTTGCTTTATTTTGTTAGTAGACATACTGTACATTTTAAAACAAGACTGCCAACTTGCTCCCTGATTAACTCAACACCAGCCAAATATCAGGTTCAAGGTCCACTGATAAATTGACCCTTTTTACAAATAACATACAAGCAACAATACTTTTGCAGCAGTGGAAGAAATGGTCCATGCTGACAGAACAGCTGCAGGGGGTCCAAATTCTTCAGACACTTTTGGAGCATTAAAAGTGAAATATTAACAACACAGATGTTGTTCTTTCAATAATTATTCAGTGTGCTATAATACCTACACTAGTAGTCTGCATATTTATGTCTGACCTCATCCACCAGAGGTCAAGAAATTCTGAAACTGCTAATTGGCTAACACTAATTTGTGGGCCTAGCTCTGTGTTAGCTTTCTGAGACCCTGGATGTGAACACCTTCACTTAAAGCTTTAAGCTGAAATCTCATTGTCTTTGTTTCACTCACATTCAGTGCGCTAATGTGTAACCAAACCAGCGACGAACATATTGCTGACCTTATATGTTCTGACAACTGTGCATAGTGGCTATGTTTGTGTAAAAGGGTCAGCATAGGCACTATAAAATAAGTAAATGAATAACAGCTGAGCTCAGTTTGCTCAAATAACCTAAACAAAGTCATCTAGCTAGCAAGATAAATTAGCAAAGCAGACATTGTTGATTTTATTTGACCATGTTTACTGTGTATTCTTGAGATCACTGAATTGTTAGGAAATTCAGACAGCTATATCCGGCCATTGTTTTCATTTGCTGAGGACATCCACTATGGCTGCTGAGTGGACTGCATCCTTGATCTTGTCTTGTTGCTTGACTGAATCTGCCAATTTCATAAAGTTTAGTCTCATATGTCAGCACTGTGTTTAACAGGTGGTTGTATTTTACATGCCTGACATGAGTATCGATGGTAAAGTTAGGGTTTTCTGTTAATGAACTGAAGATGTTTCCCTCTCAACGGTTCATGGTCAGCACATGCAGAATGATGTATATGAGGGATTTAGTAATAGTTTATAGACTCTAGACTGTAGGCTATGTTTCAATAAGCTTCATGTCCTTATCTCTTCAGTCTGAGTTACACCCACGACTGCACAAAGTATCTTTTTGTTAAAGCTCTCTGTTTGTGTGAAAGTTACTGTTTCTGTTCATGCATTCACTCCTCACATATGATATACGTTCATTTCTTTCTTTATTAATTTTTTTGAATCCCTATTAGCTACTACCAAGTTAGCAACTACTCTTCCTGGGGTCCGCTCACAAACAAATATTAAATCATAAAGCAAAACAATAATGTAAATTAAAATCAAAGACAAAAGGGAGCAATAAAATAATGACAAAAACAAAACAATTGATAGATAAATAAAAACAAAAAATATTATTTAAAGCAAATCTTTATATATTATTTCTGATGTATGAACATGTAAAATTATTTTACTGTTGTATCTGGCCAAGGTGGTGTGAATTAACAGCATTATAACTGTAACGGCAGTAAATAAAGCAAATTAATCTACAGCTATGCATTATATTGTATAGACTTACTAATTGCATGTTAAATCTAAATCTGCAAAGTAGCTTTTAAAATTAAGTGTAAAATAAAATAAATTTCATGGTGAGAAAATCCAGCATTTGCCTCTGAAATGTAGAAGTAGTTGCAGAAAATCGAAATACATTAGTACAAATACTTAAATACTGTTGTGTACACTGTACACAGTACACAGTACACTGTAGTGTACGTGATTGAATGTATTTGGTTACTTTCCTTCAGTGGAAACAGCAACATTGAAAATTGCAATTACGATATAGTTTTACTGTAAGTTAGTTTGTCCCTTTGTACTTACCGTAGCTAATCCAGGAACTCGAGGAAGCAGCAACAAGGAAAATAATTATATATACAATTTCAGGGCAAATAATGGTGCGAAGGCGAGTGAGACAACTTTACTCACGCGTTCATTTGAAAAAAATATCTTTGACGACGTGTTTTATTTATTTTCCACTGTGGTGATTAATTATTCGTCCGAGTTTTCAATGAGTATTTTATTTTGAAATTGTTACCCGGAAGTCGTTTGTTTACATTGGACTAGCTCGTTTGACAGTGGGGGTACGTGTTTGTTTGCAGGATTTGTTTATAAAAGAAAAGTGACCTGGCTTCTAAGAACCACAAACAATGACTTCTGGCGGCGGAATTCAGATACCGAGCCGCCTCCCGCTGCTGCTGACCCATGAAGGAGTGCTCCTCCCGGGTTCAACCGTCAGGTTTAGCGTTGACTCCGCGCGAAACATGCACCTGGTCAGCCAACGGCTGTTAAAGGGGACCTCGCTGAAAAGCACAATCATAGGAGTGATTCCCAACACCAGAGACCCAGAGCACGACACCGACGACCTGCCCACCCTGCATAAGTAATACACATTTAGTTACATAGCGTAACATTACATGGATGTTGTGTGACAGTTGAGCCATTCCCTGAATTTGTGATACGGTGGTGGTGATGTTTTGGAGGCGTGACAGCAGCAGACTGTACAGGTCACCCAAACATGGAGGTCGGGACTCCTTCAAGAAGTTACAAGATAAACCTGAGGGATTGAGAGAGAATTACAGGATAGAAAAGAACTGTTACAGGACAGTTTTCTTGTGAAATATTGGATACTTTTTTCCTTTCAGGTCTCTAAAATGATTCAAATTAAACAGTTTGATCAGATAAAAAATGTAGTCTTGGACTATTAAATAGCCAAATTTTAACCATTTGATATCAGTGGGTCCAACACTCTCACTCATATCTTTTAGTTTACTTTAAGTTTCACTGGCTGGGCACATTATATAATGTTTTTTTTTCTTTATTATTCCTGTAAAAGGACTGCCAGTGTTACATGCCTTGCCAGAATTAGGGTAATTTGTATATTTGTGTTATGCACAGGTCATAATTTTTAGTGTGTGATTTGTTCTAGAAAAGTCTACCTTACAGCATTGACCCTGGAGTCAAACACAATCAACCAAGCACAGAGAACTGGACTTTAACCTTTGACCAGAAGTCTACCAGGCCTGTCTGGTTACTAAGTAGAAGCTGTTTGTCTCTGGATGTTTTGTCTCTCCACCAGTCACAGTTACCAGAAAACAACTGTTTGTTGTTTGAGTTTGAATTTATCACTGACAAAGGTGGTCATGTAATCCTTCAGTCTAGCTAAAAATCTCAGATGCATGTTATTTATTTATAGCAGGATGTAGCTCTCATGCTGCTCATATTTGTCCTGGGAATGTAAATGTTGACAGCTTCTTACTTGATTCAGTTTGACAACGAATATAGCAAATACTGCCAGGGCTGACAGAAACAATTCAAGCATATCAGCTGTTAAGAAACTGTTGGAGCTGTGTGTGAGCTTTTGTGTCAGTAGATTGTGCTGTCCTGACATATAATAAGTGTTTTAGCCAGTCTTGTCTTATTTAAATCACTGAGCTCCGCTCTTTATGTCAAAGTGAACCCCAGTGACCACAGAACTGTCTGTTTTCCTGGAAGTCTTTTTACCAACTGAGAATTAAAAGTGCAGAGGAGAGATCTCAATGAAGCTGTGAAAGCAGGCCGTAGATTATTTGGTTGTTAGATTTTGTAAGTGATGTAAGATGTAAGTGAGATTTATGTGGAAAAAAAACCAAACAAACATTTGAATCATTCTGTCTCACTGTAAATTAAGTTTTAAATTGGCTTAATTACCTTTTAAAGTTCAATGTAGCTGTGGAGCTTTGCTCTTGGTGGCAGTAGGGCTGCAAACAATGAGTGTTTTCAGTACAGATTAATCTACAGATTATTTTCGTGATTAGTTAAATAATTGTTTATAAATAGCAGAAATTATAGAATAACGCCTGTTATAAATCCTCACAATCAGATTTCTTGTTTTGTTTAAATAACAGTAATGATATTGAGTTTACAGTGATTTAAATCAGAAAATACTCACATCGGAAACAGCAGATTTGATCAGGTTTAAAATTTCTGCTTACAGAATCACTAAAATCATTATTATATTATCAGAATAGTTGCTGATAAATTGTTTGTCGATGGATTAATGGAGTGCTTGTTGCAGCTGTAATTGACACTATTTGACTGAGACTTAAATTAGTGACTCTCACACACGACAGCAGACCCGATGCTTATTACAGAGTTGCTTGATCCTTCCTCTCTTCTTCTATCTCTCTCTGTCACTGTGTAGAATTGGTACAGCGGGGATAGCAGTACAGGTGGTGGGCAGTAACTGGCCTAAGCCCCACTACACCCTCCTTATCACTGGACTGTGCCGCTTTAGAGTGTCAAGTCTGCTGAAGGAGCGACCCTTTGTCCTGGCAGAGGTAAAGATATTAGAACTTATTTTGTATAAAACGAACAATCCCATGATTCTGAGAATGTCTTATGATTTTTTTGTCACGTCACCCTCGCTGGCATGTGTGTTTTTTTTATGGGCACGCAAGATAGAAACAAATGAAAACATTGCTATGTAGTGCTACTGCAGGTCTGGAGTTATTTCTAGGGAAATTTTGTCCATGTTTTGGGGGCGTTATTATTAATAGCTCATTTTTTACAGGTAATGTAGGACATTGAAAACACAGGTCTTTTTAATTGTAAAAACTTGCAGGTGGAGCAGTTGGATAAATTGGAGCAGTACACGACTCCAGCAACAGAGGGTGTCACCGCAGGTGATGGAGAGCTGGGGGAGCTGTCCCAGAAGTTCTACCAGGCTGCCGTACAGGTGTGTGTGTATAGAGTGTGTGTGTGTGTGTGTGTGTGTGTGTGTGTGTGTGTGTGTGTTTAATTTAAGGGATTTGACTTAATCAAGAAAAAAAACCCACCAAATGCTCTACTGCCTGTTGTCCTGCTCAACATACAGAACAATTTTTTATCATATCTAGTGTAAGGAAATAATATTATTTGGTCATTATCAATGTATTAATATTTTCTACTTAAAATTGTCTTGGGTCCCTTAATAGGATTTTCAACAAAGTTAAATTTATGTTTTATCTGCTGATTTCTGACAGTAGGACTCGAATCTAACCTACTCGCAGACAGGCAGCGGTGTTGGATATGTAAATAATAAAGTCTTACCAGGGCTGATCAGTACCGCTTAAAGCACTTGTGCAAGGAAGCGTTACAGAACAATAAACGGGTTCAATGTCTAGACCTACTGGACATCAGCTGATAAACCAGTTCAGCTGCCACACAGGGTGGTTTAAGGCTTTACTGTACCTCACCTTTCATCTCCTTTGTACTTTCTAACTTTTACCTAATTTTCTTTTTTAAATTTTACATTTCTTTAATTCATTCTGTATTGACTATTTTAACTTGGGACACAGTATCTGGAAAACAGAAGATTGTTTTACCAGTTGTATCCACTGACAGTCAGCATGGTAATATCTTCTCTGGTCTGACGGCACTTCACAGTGCTTTCTTGTTTTTACATCCCCTTGATACTTTTGCCTTTGTTTTTTTTTCACTCAGACTAAAGTACCTTTTTGGTTGAAGTGAATGAATGTTGAATTGAAAGTAACACTTAGATTGAAACAGTTCCTTTTTGACAAATAACCAGAAGAACATTCTCATGAGGGAGCACATTCCCAAAACACCCAGAGCCATACATTTTCTTTTAACCTCTTGACCCTTGATGTGATTTCAGCCCAGATAATAATAATAATGGTGCGTCTGGATTCTAAATGTTGATTTGATTTGTAGTAGGCAATTTTGTGTGTGTGCATTTTAGTGTATAGTTGTGTTTTTCGTGTGTTTTGCTATGACATGTACTGTGGCAAGAAAAAGTTTGTAAACCCTTTGGACATAAAATGTGAGCTGATCTTCATCTAACAGCAAAGCCCCAAATCTTGATGTTCTTCCAATTAAACCGTGGTTTCATCAGTCCATAAAACATCTTCCCTGTAGCGTTGTGGAGTCTGAAGGTGCTCTTAGCAAACTTCAGACGTGCAGTGATGTTTTGGAGACCAGTAGCTTCCCCTGTGGTGTCCTGCCATGGACTCCACAGGGGAGTCTGTAACCGTGCACCATGACTCATAAACAGAGGCCCAATCCCAATGTCCACCCTCACAGAATCACAGACTGAGGCGTGTTCGAGGGCTTAGAGCTGTCTCACTGTCAAACCGTCACAGGCATGAGGGCTCTGTAGCGGACATTTTGGCCCTTTATGCACACTTTCTGTAAGTCCGCATTTCTGCAGACTTTGCCTGAGGGAATTACCCAAAGTTCATAGCGTTATGACATTGAATGCGGGGTAACAGTGGTTAGCAGGGGACACCCGGAAGAATAAAAAAAATGGTAAATGACCATCATAAAACGGAAAAAAGAAGATAGAAGAAGAACAGTTAACAAACAAGCATGAAAAGAACAAACCGTAACGTTAACATTACAAAAAAAGAAAGGTCTCATAAACACAGAGCTCACTGCTGATTCGTAGCCAGAACTGTGTGCGGTTATTTGTCCTAAGATGACATGATGATGCATTCCAAATATGCTTTCAGCTCTCATCCAACATTATTTTTTGATTACAAACAGGGAGCGGAGGGAGAAAAATAAAAAATCCAAAATCAAAAGTCCCAAACCCACAATTCTACTCAACATGTTTTGGCCTCATCAAAGTAACGTGATATGTCACAAACCGCTGTCCCACTCTTTGTACCATTTTGAGCCCATGCAGCCTCTCGCACTCAATCACTTACCAGTTGACGTCAATTAAGTCTGCGAGGGCTCTGGACTTAGGCCATTAGGATTGGGCTGGAGATGTTAACCAGCTCCACTGATTGCTTTAAGCTTTTAGCAGTTGCTCTGAGGTTCTTCGTTACCTCTGAGTAGCCTGAGAGTCGCCACAGAACTATATCATCTCCATTTATAGATAGTTCGTCTAACTGTGGACTGATGAACATCTAAATTCTGTGAGATGACTTAGTCCTCTGAGCACTGAGCAGCAAACCCAAACTGTTAAAATGTTTTTTATAAGTCACAGTTGCTCTAACACAACTCCCATTTTGTTTCATTGACTGGATTCCAGGTTTGAAAACTCCTGACTCCAGTTAGCTTTTGTTGATGCCATTAGCCGAGGGGTTTCACATATTTTTACAGCCTAAACTGTGAATGTTTGAATGATGTTTTCAATATGGACAAGAAGAATACAATCATTTGTGTGTTATTTGTTAAAATAAATTGTGTTTGTTCATTACTGTAACTTAGATGATGATCTGACCATGTTTTAAGACAAATTTATACATAAATGCAGATAATTCCAAAATATTTTGCTATTTCATTTCGCAGGAAATGAGACAATTTAAGGAATATTCTAATATTTTGTGAAATACACTAACTCATCTTCTTGCCTAGAGTTAGATAAGAATGATTGATACCAGTGCTTAGCATAAAGACTGAAAACAGGGGAGACAGCCAGCTGAATTGTCATTTTTGACACGTATGAAACATGTTAACGTGTTAATTGTCGACCTTTAGACATGCCGGTAGGCAGATTTTGCTGCCTTCTAACACAGCCAGACTCACTCTTTCTATCTGTCGCAGTGAGACTAAACTGACTACAAAAGCAGGTTTTTGCCATGTGATGTAAAAACAGCAACGACAAATGATTTAAAGCACATTTTTCACATTAAGTATATTAATTTTGTTTAGTTTTACCTCTAGCTCTGAACAGGTAACAAGAAGTGCATTGCCAACAGAGATCCTTCTCTCTGAGAAGAACACTGGAAACCCACTTTATGGCTGCTTTGCTCAACGTTTCTGTTTTGGCCAACAGATGCTTCTTATATAAAAAAAAAGAAAAGAAAAAAAAAGCTGTCTCTTATCTCATCTTGCTGTGGGACGTCCAGCAGGCTGCAGCTGTGTAGCATTTATAGAAGGTGGCGAACATATAAATTAAAAGGCTGCTTTCTTTGCACTCACAATTTATTGTTAAAGCTGGTTTTACTCTTGCCGGGTGAATTCCTGCAGGATGAACTTTGGCATGTCAAAATTTGTCAAAATAACAAGAAACAGGTACAAGTCATTACAACCACAAACTGGGTTGGATCATGACAACAACACACTGTGATCGATGGAATTAAAAAAAAAAAAAAAAAAAAAAAAAAAAAAAAGCTTAGTTATGCCAGTAAATCAAACCCCACCATGTCTGTATGTTTGTGTATATGTGTGTAGTTGTTAGGTATGTTGGACATGTCTGTTCCAGTGGTGGCTAAGTTCAGGCGTCTGCTGGACAGTTTGCCCAGGGAAACTCTACCTGATGTGGTCGCCTCCATGATCCGCACTTCGAACAAGGAGAAACTACAGGTGAAGTGTCTGTCAGCCACAATTCTACTAATGACTTATAAACAAAACATGTGACATGACGGAAAGTTTAAAGAAGACAGTTCTCCTGTTCTCCTTCTGTTCCTGTTCGTCACAGCATCTTTTTATGAAGCTACTACTGGGAGCTCAAGAAAGACATTGGTTTAAAGTTGTGATTTTCAAAATAAAAGACAGCTGCTTTTTGTACCTTCTTGTGTGCTGTGAAGGTCCTGGATGCGCTGAGTTTGGAGGAGCGTTTTAAGAAAGCCCTGCCCATGTTGACCCGACAGATAGAGGGACTAAAACTGCTGCAGAAAACCAGGAAGACGAGTCCTGATAACGAAAAGAGGGTAACAGACATTTGCATTTCTTCTTTTATATATAAAAGAGGATATACGTATATGTATATGGGATGGGAAACAGAAACCTCTCTGTTTTCCCGTCTGTTCAGGTGTTATCGGTGCGTAAAGGTGGAGTGTTCCCAGGCCGGCAGTTCAATCTGGATGAGGAGGATGAGGATGAAGATGGAGATGACACTGCAGTCCTGGAGAGGAAAGTTCATGGGGCAAACATGCCTGAAGCTGCACTCAGAGTTTGCCTGAAGGAGCTCAAGAGGTGAGTTTTTTTATTTTTTTTTTACCTGTATCTTGGACCTACGTCTTCTGTGCTTATTGTGTGATTTCCCTAACGACTCTTGTGTAACAGTCAGATGGGTGTTAAGAGTTAATCTGGTTCATCTGTATTCAGATTGAAGAAGATGCCTCAGTCCATGCCTGAGTATGCCCTGACCAGAAACTACCTGGATCTGATGGTAGAGTTGCCATGGAGTAAAAGCACCAAAGGTAGATAAAGCTACAGGTGACTAAAGTGTCAGATGCCTCAGATACTGTATAAGATCTTAAACACTCTTTAGCTTTGTCTTTGCACCACAGCCGAACAGTTACTCGTCTAAAAAATATGTTTGATAGCGTCGGCGTCGCCAAAAAAAAGATGTGTTTCTTCACTTTTAATGGAGTGCTTCATATTTTAATCCTGAGAAATGCTTAACACATGGTGACTGTGAGATTTTGGTGAGAACTGTGTTGAATATTTCAATGTAATCGTTCAGATTTTTTTCTGATGCACTGCAGTTTTGGTCTGAAGTGTATCTGCTTGAGCTTTCTGTCTGTGACTGACAACAACGAACAACAACAAAACCAAAGTCTTCTCTTGACTGAAATGATTACATTTGAATATCTTTAAGAACTCATGATCAATTGATATAATTAAAAAGATAATTTAATGATTAATCAGCTGTTATTTTCACTTAAGTCAATTAATTCATACATTTAATGCTACAAATAGTTAAAATTGCATATTTTAACAATGGATGAAGTGATGATGTGTAATGTTAAAGGTGTCACTTGTGATGAACCCACGAAGAATTATCACAGACTCTGTAGTTGTCCTCAGCTCTACAGAGCTTTTTAGCATCTTTCAGCTAATTGTTTTGGTTTCACGACCATTGATTTAACATGTTAGCCGTACCAATTTTAGAAGGTGGTAAAATGTCAATAGTGAGTTCACAGCTTGTTGTGCTGCAGTTATTGGAGTTGACACCACTTACTTTAAATCTAACAGTTCTCTGGTTTCTGAGTGAACAGTTTAGTTTCTCCTGAAAGTAATGTCAGTGAAACAATCACTGTAAATCTTACAGCCTGAATGATCTAAATGTGAACCCAGACTCATTTCCATTTAGATTCCACAGTGATCATGTTACACAGTCAGAAAATACAGTGTACTATACACTGTGTATGTGGTGGCCAGCCACAAAATCTTCAAGGCACACTGCCAAGAAATTTCACAAACTGAAGTGTACTGTACAAAGGTTCACAGACTCTGCTTTCCTTTGTCTCTGTGTTTCTGTTGACCACAGACTGACCCTATACTAAGTAACGTCATATTAGTGGAGTCTCCAAAATTTGAGGACAGGGTTCAGTTGCAGGATCAGAGTTCATTGCCAGAGTATGTGCTGCAAATAAATCTCAGTTTGGGAGAAGTGTCTGTCCTTGAGTGGAAAATCTTTCACCTATGGCTTTTCGCGTCTTTATTCTTTATTGCTGTGGCAGCTGGTTTCTAAAGACCCACCAGGTAGCAAACTGTTGTTTTCTACTGTCCAGTCTTCTAACGTTATCAAATTACAGTCACTCCTTCCTCTCTTTCTGCAACTCCCATCTCACTGTTCTCACTGTCTTCATCAATCTTCACTAACTTTAATCTTTTCTCTTTCTTTCTTTGAACCATCCATCTCATCCACACTCACTCCACTCAACACACACACACACTCTTCAGACTGCCTGGACATCCGAGCTGCCCGCACTCTGCTGGACAACGATCACTATGCCATGGACAAGCTGAAGAGACGTGTTCTGGAGTACCTGGCTGTCAGACAGCTGAAGACTTCACTCAAGGTGCTTTGTTTAGATCACACACTAACACACACTGAAATGTATAAAGGCAAATGTTATGTGTTATATGAAGCAGTTTCTTTAATGTGTCACATATTTATCTGCTGCCGTGTCTTTAGGGCCCCATTCTCTGCTTCGTGGGTCCCCCAGGAGTCGGTAAGACCAGCGTGGGACGCTCTATCGCCAGGACTCTGGGCAGAGAGTTTCACCGCATTGCATTAGGAGGCGTCTGTGATCAATCTGACATCCGAGGACACAGGTAGGCTCATAAGATAGTATCTCTACTGGAGGGCCTATAACATCAGATGTTGTTACAACTTACAGTGGTTTCTAAAAGTTTGAGACTACATTCCTAAGTTTACTTTAACGGGAAAGTGATCTCACACTTTTGAATTCCAGTGTAATGTGTCCCGAGACATCAGAAAGATAGGACTTTATAGACTTTACACCAAGATAAGACATGACTCATCTTTGCAAAATTTGACATTCATTGAACTTACAACTGGGTCTTTTTTATGCCTCCATGCCAGCGGGAGCCGAAGCATAATTCATCATAATTTTAGGTTGTCCGTCCATCCGTCCGTCCCAATCTTGTGAACACAATATCTCAGTAACACTTTGAGGGAATTTCTTCTAATTTAGTTTTCACTTGGATTCAAAGATGAGCTGATTAGATTTTGGTGCTCAATGTTCAAGGTCAGTGTGACCACACAAAACACGTTTTTGGCCATAACTCAAGAATTCACACGCTCATTAACCCTGGACTGGTCGGCGCAGGTTTACAAACATGAGAAGAGATCATGAAGGGGCTCTTTGTAAGTTTTCTCTGCCGCCGAACTTGGTTTCCTGCTGGAAGCGGGTGGTGGTGAATGTCACTTGACGAGCTTCAGCCATTGTTGTCTTTGTGATACAAGAGGTTATAGTACGCCCTCTGAGCAGCACTACTTCTTCAGGACAGATTGGAGAGTACGATGAGTTGCTATTGGACAGTGACGAGACAGACTGGAATGGGCCAGGGCCAGCTGGTTAGTGTGCTAACTTCAGTTCCTTGTTCCTTTCCACTGCTGGAGACAGCGCTTGGCAAGTTCAAGTTTGATGCTGAACTGTAAGTTTCCACTTTTCTTTGTTTTTTCCTAGCTGTTAAGTAAACAGCTGTCAATGCTAACCTTGGCTATGTAGCAATATCAAAACTCACAAATTGCTCCTTTAAGCAGCGTGAAACATTGTAATAGTTTCAGGACACGGATAATTGAAACACTGCATATAAGACTGTGCCAAAGGAATATGAGTACATTGTTTTGATGATGTATTGGAGTGCAGCACTCTCTGCTGCTAAGTGGAACATGAGCTTTCATGAGAAAAAACATCTGGATTACATTTCATTCATGATCAGTCATCACACGGTGGCTGCGGCTCAGGAGGTAGAGCAGGTCCTCCACTAATCAGTAGGTCAGATCCCCAGCTCCTCCAGTTCACATGTCGAAGTGTCCTTGGGCAAGATACTGAGACCCCCATGTTGCCCCAATGATGTACTGTCAGCGTGTGAGTGTGTATGTTTTTGAAAAGCGCTATGTCTTGAACAAGCGCTGTATCAATGTGTGTGTTGAGACTAAAAAAAGAGCCGTATAAATCAGCAGTCCATTTACCACACACTGACAATAAGACTAGGTATACACCTAGTTACATGGCTGTACCGTTTAGGGGTGTGAAGTGTGGGCTTAGAGTTTTTGGCTCTTGTTAGAGGCAGTTGGGCAGTCACCCAGCCGCCCTGGCTTCCCGGCTGCTCGGGAGCTGCCGGGAAGCAGGGTTGAGCTTCCAATTCACTGAGCTTTGCCTTCATTACGGCAAATAAACTACCTTCAGAAGTTGAGTTAAATAGGCCCCGCTCCACTGTTGTGGTCCAGCCAAAATGTCTCTAAGTCTAGAGACAAATGCGTTAAGTTGGCAACAAGCTTGGCTGTAAGCCCCACTAACAGAAACTGTTTGCACCGATTCATTTTGTATTCAAAAGTAATGGCCAATGAGCAACTCAGTCACTCCAACTCAATCACAGTCAGTCAGTCAGTCAGTCAGTCAGTCAGTCAGTCAGTCAGTCAGTCAGTCAGTCAGTCAGTCACTGTTGCAGTCCAGATAAAAAACAAGAAATATTAAGTAAAGAAAAGATTTTTTTTTTCATTCATAGCAGCTCAACATTTGATATCTTTCCAGTGAGTCTGGAAGGAATTTAAATGACTCATGAATAAAACACACATGTGCATGTTAAAATCATGCTGATAAAAGGCAGCAGAGCGTCTCCCATGAGCTCTTAAGACATTTATAAGAATTTTCAGCACATCAGTGATGGGACCGCCACATTCAAACATGCTCTTTTCAAATGATACAACAGAGATCTCACATAGTAATACAAAAAAACAAAAAATTCAAAGAAACCAATAAAGAGGGAAAAATAAAAGACTCAAATAAATAATTATCAATTATCGAATCTTAGAGTAAGATAAACTGATATATTTAATTCAAAGGATACATTCTACCAATATAGGAACAGTAAGTGGTTACAATGTACATCCAAATATACACCCGTAAGCTTTGGATTTGGGGTTTGGGTCCTTCATAAATATCCTTTTCAATAGTTTTAATTAGTTTTCTCATGCATATTTGTTCCAAATCATCTTGGTCTATTGCATGAGAGTTAATTTTCACATTTATTTTTAACATTTACATTAATTTGATAGTTGGCTCTTATAATTTCAGCCATCTTCGTTAAGAATTTTGGTTCATCTCCACAGTCGTATCTTAAGCATATATTTCATCAATGGATTTATATCTTGAATAGATAGAACATCAAAGAGGTAGCTTCACACTTGGAAGAATCTAAATAATGGAGAATTGGGTAGACCATATCGTGACGATGACTGTTCAAAGGATTTCATTTATTTATCCCAAAACATTTGTCAAAATGTTTTGAAAGTTCCCAAGTTTATCAACTATCCGTCTATTATCTAAATTCTTCCATATGATTTTTTATATTTGGTAGGTAGTCGTACATCTCCACAGTTTAAGTTTAATTCCATCTCTTTCTATATTGTATGTGAGCTTTCAAACAACCACACCTTAATATTTCCCATCTTTGCTGCTTGATAGTAAGCTTACAGGTTTGGTAGACTTAGGCTGCCCATTTCTTTTGGCAGTTTAAGATCTTTCATTTTAATTCTTGATTTCCTGCCATTCCATGTGAATTTAATTACAATAGAATCCCATTGTTTTAAAGTATTAGAGATAATATGATCAGTGCTTTGAAAAGGAATAAAATTTTGGTAAAATAGTCATCTGTATAATTTTAACTCTTTCCCAGAGGGAAAATTTAATTATAGACTATTTCAATCTTTATATCGTTTAATGTGACTTATCAATTCTTCATAGTTTTTGAAAACAAGTTGCTCAGATACTTTGTTATATTTATCCCAAAGTATTTTATACGCTCCACTTCCCAATGCAGTGCATATTTGTGCTTGATTTGATCCCTGGCTCTGCAGCTCAAAACCATTAGTTCTGATTTATTTTACATTCAATGGTCCCAAATTCTTCATATTAATCCTGGTTATATTTTGTAAATTGATTTTCTATCTCAATACTTTTGAATTTTTTCATTCATGTCTACTACTTCTTTAGTTGTTTTGTAGGCCAGCACCTTATTTACTCTGGAGCAAATAAGGCATATGAACTTCGTCTTACCATGGCCAGAGATTTTTCTACCTCCATATTTAGGAGATCATTCATTGCTGCTTCAGCCTCTTTAAGGTCATTTAATACTGACAAAGAGAAGTATTCCTCAATAATTTTCTTGCATTTGCTTTTTGTTTTTTCCTGAAAGAGGCATATGATATTGTTTCACCCCTTAACCCTTCACCCCTTTCCATAATATTACTGGATTGACATGTTCTGGATTTATCTCTGTTGCTAATTTTCTGAAAGGCTAAAATTCTTAAATCTCCAGATACCAGCACCTTTGTCCATACTACGAATTCATGTGATTTGTGAAGCTGCATGATCAATGTATTTGACCAGTTTTGAAGCTTTTTAGAAAAGACACAATGTGTTAAAGCTAATATCACACAATTGCAATCTTTTGTGTCTTTATTGAACACACCCATTAAACATTCACAGTGCTGATGTGAACTCTTGGATTTAATAACCCGGTCAAATCATCTTTGGCACCAATAACTTCAAACCAGCTCTTCCAGTAGCTGCTGATCAGACCTGCACAATGTTCAGGAGGAATTTTGGACAAATATTCCCACAGAACTGCTTCACCTCAGCCATATATATTCTCTTGGGCGACTCTCTTCAGGTCATTCCACATTATCTCTACTTGATTAAGGTCTGGGCAGAAAGATTTACTTCAGTGTTTAGGGTTATTGTCCTGTTGCATCACTGAACTTAAGCAGGGGGGCAGCCACCCTGACATTACCCTGTGAGATACAGGACCTTCATTTTCTCCACGCTGATCTCGAGCTGTCCAGGACCAGAGGCAGCAAAGCAGCCACAAATCACGATGCTCCCTCCACCCCTTCACCACTGGGATGATCTTTTCGTGTCGGTATGCAGTTCTCTTCTTACACCACACAGCATGTTTTTTCCAAACAATTCAATTTTAGTTTCATCAGCCCATAAAAAAATTTCCCCGTTAGTGTTGTTGAGTTTCAGGGTGGTCATTTGGTAAACTTCAGGCCTGCTGTGATGTTTTCTTGGAGAGCAGCAGCTTCCTAAGGTGACACTATGCTCCGTGATTTGCGAATGGTCGACTCATGAACACAGAGGTTAAAAGCTCCTGTGAATCATTACAGCTTTTAGCTGTTACTCTGAGATTCTTTGCCACAGAGCTAGATCATCTCCATTTATAGACTGTTTTCTGACTGTGGCCTGATGAATATCTAAACTCTCTGAGATGACACTCTTACCCTTTCAGCTTCAAGGAAATCATACATTTTTGATTGTAAGTCTTCTGAGATCTCTTTTTGTGAGGCATCGTTCACATCAGCAGATGTTTTTTTGTGAACAGCAAACTCAAAAGGTTTTTTTTATAAGCCAGTGAGTGTCTCTAACCCACACCTCCAATCTTCTTTCATTGACTTCAGGTTTGATAACTCCTAACTACAATTAGCTTTCATTATTAGCTGAGGGGTTCACATACTTTTTCTAACCTAAACTGTGAATATTTGAAGGATATTTGCAGTATGAACAAGAACAATACAATGATTTGTGTGTTATTAGTTAAAATAGATAAATGCGTGTTCATAATTGTAACTTAGATGAAGATTTGACCATATTTCAGGACAAATTTACACGTTAAATGAGGAAATTCCAAAGAGTTGACTTACTTTTTCTTGCCACTGTAACTGGAAAACAAGTGCAGTTAACCTATATTATTATTATATTATTAAAAAAAACTAAAACAAAGATCACATATGTCACATATTATGCAGCATGTAACTTTTTGGCATTAAATAGAGCAGAATTAAGTTTTTTTTATACAGCAGCAGAGAAAAACCTGCTGCGGTATAATCTCCCCCATCTCAGCTGGCATCCAGCCGGCTGCTGGCGTTGCTGTGACTCAGGTTGTCAGGTGGCAGGTGTCTGGTTTTAGAATATTGTTTCTGAAAATTGTTTGTTTGTGTTTATTATAATTGTGTAGTTTGTGTTACTATGCAGTCATACCATTGAGGCCGCATGTCCTGAATAGTGTTATATAGTGTGTGTCTTGATGCTAGACGCTAAGTTGCTTTCGTGGGACGTCTGACAGTGGTATATCCCTCTTGTAAATTTGTAACCACAGCGATAACATGGCGTTCACGGTGTATCCTCAGGAGCAATATAAGGGACACTAACACTTACATAGACATTAGCTTTGTTTAGCTGTAATATAATTTCCTGGTAAAATATACATGTGTTAATCTGTGTGAAAGTGTGTGACCTGTAATCTGACAACCATAATATTTACTTTACAAAAAAATTACATCCGTTGTTGAGAGCTGTGGTGTTTCTCTCACACCATGCCCCAAGTCAAGTTTACTGAAACACAAACAACAAAATCATAACCACTGATTGACTCATACACACACAGTGTAACCTGTCATCTGAGTCAATTCAAAAATCATTAGAGGTCAGCAGTTGTGTCACTCGGCTTGCCTCTGCTCAGTCTGTTAAGAATCTCTATTGGGAATGAGCAACGTATTAGATCCTGTGTGTGTGTGTCTGTGTGTGTCTGTGTGTGTGTGTGTGTGCGCGCGTGTGTGTGTGTGTGTGCGCGCGCGCAGGGCAGAGTTCATCTCAGATTGCAGGGCTGATCCTGGTATTTAAAGGAAGACTAAACAGAATTGAGACTCTTTCTCTGAGCCAGATGAGAAACATGTGTCCGGCATACCAACAGCAGGAGACCAACAGATAAAGATGAAAGTTCTTTAACGGTCAATTTACAATTTGTTCAACTTAAGAAAGAAAATTCTCCCTCAAAAATAGACAACTCCAGTAGTTTCATATTTACAGTTTTGTGGTTGTTCTTTTATGTATTTTCTTTGTTGTTTCTTTTATTTTGGTTCTTTGAACCTCAGAAACTGCACATTTCATGCCTTCAGCTTTTAAACACTTGAAGCTTGCTTGCATTAAGTAATTTGTTACGGAGAACATGAGCCGTTGTCTCATATGAACTCCAGACATGTCCAGACCTAATACTCTGGACATTGTCCGGAGTTGTCTTCTCCCCTGCTGGATATACTGGTTTAGCTGAGGGATGGACATGATACAAAAAGCACACTGAAATGATCCCTCTTCCTCACCCTCGGATGTTTGTGTTCTTCTACTCTCACGCCAGTCGCATGATAGAAACATAATTTAACACGTCACTCGCTCTAATCACACATGGACTCAATTGGACATTACATGGACTTTGTGTTAGGGAGCAGGCAGGGAGCAGGCAGGGTAAAGTCTGCTCAGTGTCAATGTCAGCTGCCTGATCTGGATATTTGTATTCATACACACAGCTCCTCTAGGTAATGTGTTGCAGTGCATGTGTGAAATTTATTTGCCTATATATGCCTAAAAATAAGTTGATAACAGCATGACAATGCAATAATAACATGACATTGCAAAAATGACTGTCGACAAAACTTGATATTCACCTTGACATAATATATTTCTGCACTTTTTTTTGTTGTCATCGGTAGAAGAAAGACCTTTGAGAGCCTTCAGTTTGTTTGAAATTAAGTGTACACATTTACACAGCAGGTCAACAGTTCAATTCCTGCCCATGTCTCCAGGCGCACATATGTAGGCAGCATGCCAGGCCGCATCATCAACGGTTTGAAGACAGTAGGTGTGAATAATCCGGTCTTCCTCCTGGATGAGGTGGACAAACTGGGAAAGAGTCTGCAAGGAGACCCTGCAGCCGCTCTGCTAGAGGTCAGTCTGTTTCTCTCTCTGAGATTATCTGTGGAGTGGTATCACATGTCTTCACTGCATGTTAATTCCCTAAGCAGAACATTCACCGGTTAACCTCAACCTTTGCTAAAATTGCTAATAAGCATTTGTTCCTCTTTCCTCGCTGAGCCTTCTTTTAATTACCTCTGCCAAGGAGGTTGTGTTTTTACTTCTTTCTGTTTTTTTTTGTTTGTTTGTTGAACAGCAGGATTACACAAAAAGTACTGAACTGATTTGTACCAAACTTGGTTAAGGTATGGGACATGGCCCAGGGAAGAACACATCAAATTTTAGTGTGAATCCAGTTAAAGAGTCAGATCCAGGAATTTTTCCTTAACATTGTGAAATAAGGCATTTTTCGACGCTCTAAGTCCGTTTCTCAGGAAATAATGATTGGACCTTGATGTAAAATATCAGACATATTAATGGTGTTGAGATCTATGATTTTGTACAACTTGGTGCAGATTCAAATCATAATCTGGATCTCACAGACCTGTAGGATTGTTTGGCCTTGGCAGAGGTATGTGCTCTACAAAATGCCATTGTAGTTGTTTTTGTCTTATTCTATTCTTCTTTTTCTTCTGTTTCCAAATGACTTAAATTTAGCATGATTAAACTCTAAAAACATACACATTAAAACAAACGGTATCCACATGTTCCCTTAGGTCCTGGACCCAGAGCAGAACCACAGCTTCACAGACCATTACCTCAACGTGGCCTTTGACCTCTCCCAAGTGCTCTTTATTGCTACTGCAAACACCACGGCAACCATTCCCCCAGCCCTGCTGGACAGGATGGAGGTACTGCAGGTACCAGGTGGGTTTAGGTGCGGATGATTCCAGCTCTAAGGAATCGTCTTGACCGTCTCCATTTGATCTTGAAGACAAACTTGTGACAGAACAAATCTCAACTGTATGATTGAATTTTCTGCAGTGTAGTAAGAGAACAGATGAAACGGCTCTGTGTCCAATTGCAAATCCAATCACACACAAATGTGCGTGCAGACAAATTTCAAAGACAATTTGTTTCCAATACAGTCTTTGGTAGGTTACTAACTATGGAATCATGGGAGCACCGAAAAAAATACATCTGTAAAAGAATAAGAAAATAATGTTGAAATGTAAAGAGGAATAAATAAGAAGTATTTTTGTGGATATATAAACACAAATAACTCAATAGGAAAGAATACTAATACTAATAATAATTCATAATTTATTTGTTCATTTATTTCTGTATATTTTTTTTTAATATATTTCTAAAAATTATGTATTTATTTTTGCATACAAATTACTCTGTATATATAAATATATTATTAATATGCAATTTATTAATTTTTCCTTATTGTTTTGCCTGTTGCTTTTCCTTTTCACTATTGTTTGATTATTTGTCTTGATATTATTTTATTCATTTATTTTCTCTTCCTTTTGCACATTTATTCTTTTTTATGGCACTTCTATGACTCCGTAACTGATGACAAGATATATAACTATCAGATATAAAGATACAATATTATAATAATTAATGAATTCTAATGACTAATAATTATTTCATACATTCTAATTTGTCTTTTCTTCTCTCTCTTGGTTTTCTTTTGTTACTTATAAATATATTTTCCATGTTCTTTGCACTTACTGTGCATTCTGTAGCTGTGAGTTGTCTGTTCACCTGTCAGTTGAGGTGAAAATGACAAATGATAACTTATGTTATTACCTACAATCAAGGACTGGATCAAATTTTGTTTACAGGTGTTTTGGTAGCGCTGCTGAGTGTGTGAAAAAAGTTGCATTTTTGTGGCTCCAGAGGGAAGTCTGATAAACTTAGGCTTCTGCAGCCGGCTCTTCATCTCTGCTTGAGCCTGGCGCCTCAAGTCCACAGCCACTACTAACACAACACACCCAAATCTCTGACAGAACTGTAGACGCTGTTACGCTGCGCTACACTAATGTAAGTGTCAGATTATGAGGAGGAGGAAGAATGCACAGAATAATGATAACAATAATTTTTGTTTATTTTATTTTACTTTTGTCCTCTGTTTATTGCTTCAGGCTACACCCAGGAGGAAAAGGTCGAGATAGCTCACCGTCACTTGATCCCAAACCAGCTGGAGCAACATGGATTAACACCTCAACAGCTGCATATACCACAGGACACCACACAAGATATAATCAGCAGGTACACCACACACACACACACACACACACACACACACACACACATACACACACACACACACACACACACACACACGTGTAAACAAACTAATTCAGAAGACATAATATAACTAAACCTAAGCTCAATGAAAACATTTTTTAAAGGGAATGTTTTGACATTTCCTGCTGAGAGTTATGTTAGATTTCTACCACCGTAGAAGGAGTCTCTGTCACTTCAGTCCATCCACGGACGGAGGTGGGTGCTTTCACAATAGGACAATATACTACAAACAGTTAAATAGGCCACTTGTCATCACCATTTGATTATTAAACTGCCAAAGTGAATTGTGTGCTCGAGTATCTTAATGATAACAATATCGACAGTAATCAACTTCATTTGTACAATAGTTTTCTGCTGTGCAGCACAGAATTTACTCTTATCTGTCACATGCCTCCTCAGTCTGCTCTTCATATAGTTTATACTAGCTGTAAAATAAATATTTCTTACATCACTGTGTAGATAGAGTTTATTAAGTGCTGTCAACTGGTGCGATAAACACAGTGTTCTGCTGAGAACTTATGTCTTCTAGAAAAAACAATAAGAATTTCCTTGAACTAAATTCCTCAGATTGATATGGACGCTACACCATGTTCACTGCTGAGACGCTGCTGCTTTTAGCCTGCAAAGCACAAACCTAGTGTGTGCTGCGTGGAACAGAGAGCTCAGCCAGCTGACAGCTCACATCTGAGGTCAACCTGAAATTCCACCGCTGGTCATCAGAGTGTGTCATTAAGTTGTCAAGTGGTTTGGTTGGTATTTGTCTTGAATGTTGACCTGTACTTCTCCGGCTGTGTGACCTTTTGATTAGAGACAACATCCTTCAGCCATATGTTTTCTGTTCAGTCTCTAAGAAGCAGCCTGTCATATGAATGTCAGTGATGAATTTATTGTCGGTCAACTAATCCATTAATCACCTGATTATTTCAGCAGCAGTCTGTTAATATAGTCCACTAAATGGTCTGGTCAAACTGTCTGGCACGTTTAAAAAGAAATCTGTAAACACGGAGCTGCTGATGCAAAGGCTTCTGTTCTCTTCAGATGGTAAGCATTACGCTGTCGGCAGACCTGCAGAGCCTCTCTACACCATTCGCTGCACTCCAGTCTGGTTACTATAGAAACAGCCAAAAGCACACATCCTCAGAGCGATGCTCCCTATTTTACTGGCTTTTAAAAAACAAACCTGGGGTGAGCTGGGGTTAAGAAAGAGGAGAGGATTCAGCAGAGACAAGGCAGGTTAGAAGTATCAGACTGGTCCTCACATTCAGTCTGAGATGCTGTTTCTGACACAGACTTTAGGTCTGTGAGTTTATTAATTCAACTTATTTTGAATAATAATTTTACCAAGTCTCTGATTTGTCCTGTCATGATGCACCATGTGTCTGACAGGACTGATCCAGATCATTGTGATTTTGAGCCAAAAGAAGGGGTCACTACAGTTACAGATCAACCATACAGTGCCTTCACATTTTAGCACACTTAATTTTGTTGTAAACATGTTTCTGGATGTTTGCAAATATATTAAAAATCAAATTGAAAAATATAAAAATGACAGTTTTATCCATTTGAAATGAAATCGTGCAGTGTGCAAAAAGTGAAGGGGTCTGAATACAGTCTTAAGCCAGTGTGGTCGTGGTGGAGTACACTTAGCAAGAGAAGCCACAGTACCAGTGAAACCTCATCTTACATCAACGTAACTTTATCCATCTGTTGTTTGTGTTTGTGCTGTAAGGTATACCCGGGAGGCAGGCGTGCGCTCCCTCGAGAGGAAGATCGGGGCAATCTGCAGAGCCGTGGCTGTGAAGGTCGCTGAAAGTCACAGAGTCCCCAAGACAGAGACTTTGATCCCAGACGGCCCAGTAGAGCAGCGAGGTGAGGGTCTGAGTAGTTTGTTTTCTTTCTGACTCTCTGGGGAAAGGTGGGATCAAGAGGATTTGATGGTTAAATTTTTAGCTTCTTATCAGCAAGAAATTATCACCAACCACCAAGTCCATGCCATGTGATAAACGGCAGGGTAGAAGAGAAAATAGCAGAAGAAGAAGATTTTAACAACAGTGGAACAATGCTGTTGGTTATGTAAAATTCAGCTTTTATATACAGATGTGAACAGGAAACTCTCCTCTTTTAAATTAGACTTATTAAAAGTTCAGAAATATTCACCCTAATTAAATTGCTTTTACAAAATGCTATGCTGTGTTAAATTGTTAAACAATGCTCACTATCACATGTTTTCAATTGTTTCAGCTTTCATTTTATAGGTTTATGTGTGTGAGATGTAGCTCTTTTAACAATCTAAGCACATGGAGCAAGTGCATTTAGGGCATGTCCAAAACTTTCGCTAATTTAATACTAAGCAAGTCACGTCAAGTCAATTTTTTTTTATATTTATTTATAAGTTATCTCAGATCACTTCTCATATAGAGCATACTCTTTATAATATTACTTACAGACACACAACAATTCCAGAGAGAGAGAGAGCAATGCAAATTCCACATATACATGCAATATCCAGATATACATACATACATACATAATAACAATAATAATGGTTATAGCAGCAGGTGTTGAGCAGGATCATGGGGGCAGTGGCTGGTTTGCAGTCACAGATCCAGACTCTACAGCTCTGGAGGCAGAAATACCTGCAGAGAGCAACAGGAGGAGAGAGAGAGATGAAAAGAGAGGAGAGGAAGACGAAAGAGAGAGAGCGAGAGCGACACAGCCTGGACACTCATGTGCTTCAGGGAGCAAACAAACAGAGAGAGTGAGCTGCAGTGGTTTTCAGAAAGTTTACAGTAATCCTGTCAGCAGGACACCATGGACTGTACTGGGTTTAACTGATTATTATTAAGATTGAGGGCCTCCCCACCCCCCCACCCCCCATGATCCCTCTGTTGCTAGGTAACAGGTACAAAGCCTGAAATAGTAAAAGAATAAGGTGCTAACTGTGAGTTAAGGTGTGAAGATGAGTTTTGAGTTCTGAGTTTGGATTTGAAGCCTCAGCGGAGTCGGTCAGAGCTGTGATCTGGAACAAAAAGTGAGAACACATGTGGATGTTTCGTTTTACAGAATTACAGCTGTTTGGCACAAGGTGGTGCTAGTCACTTTCAATGGAAATCAATAAAACAGACCAGAGTAGAAAGTGAGCAGCATGAAGTCCACCACATGAGAATCTTGAATGTGTTTATCAGCTTTGAGTGAGTATAAACCAACATTCATTAAACTCAAGTGATATCATCTGAAAACAGTATTTTAAGCCAGATGCTGGATGTCTGAAGAGTCCTCGTATGTACAACACGATGTCTTTCAGTAGTTGAGTAATGAGCTGGGTAATGTGCAGCCATCTGGTCTTTATTAGAAAATAAACTGATTCTTCTGTCAGCATGTTTGGTTGGGGACTCGCTGGTTATATACTATGTCCTGCTCATCTAGTTTTTAGTTTTGTTTACTTGTCTGCAGGATTCTCAGAAGATTCAAATGTATCTCCAGGTGATTCTGGTGAAACATCTGATTACAACACACATGCTGTACTGCAGGAGCTACTATGAAGCAGTGTAAAGAAGCAGACGAGTAGAGTAATATGAAGGTGACTGTAGTTAGAGTGGTTCAATGAAAGAGGAGGAGTGAAATAAATAAATATAAATAAACAGAGATATGAAAAATGGGGATAATCAGAGGGGATCAGCAGTTGTGCTGCTCTGTAGAAAAGCCCTCTGTGTTGCCAGGTAACAGACATGCAGCACAAACATTGGTTTGATGATGTGTGTCCTTGTGCATGTATTTTGCATTTTGCCATGGGGGTGCTCTGTGTTTGATGCTCCTGTTTACCGTTTGTACTTGAACTGTTTGATGTGTATCTCTGTGTTGTTTGGTTTTATGTTTGTCTTTGCATAACGTGAACAGCTGATTTTCCAGTCTCAGCTGCAGCTGTTGTCACCTTTCTTTCATTCTTTCTTTCTTTCTTTCATTCATTCTTTCTTTCTCTCTCTCTCTCTCTCTTTCTCTCTCTGTGGCCTTCGTTCCATAGTTCTCTTTCACTACAAATTCAGCGAGACCTGCGATGCTTGCAGGATGCAGTACGTTTACATGCACTTGAGTAACGTGATTACTCCTCCCACTCGTGGAGTCAACTGAGTCCAGAAACATGGATGTAAAAGTATCTGGTATCTGACTCTCACCTGTCAGACATACTGTGAAAGTGAGTTGGTATTTGATGCTTTTAACAGATGTTAATGAATTAACTGTATGTGTGTGTGTGTTTAGACAAGATGGCGCCCCCAGAGATGCCCATAGTGATCGACCACATCGCCCTGAAAGACATCCTGGGACCTCCACTGTTTGAAATGGAGGTAAGCAAGGTGCCACCAAGGAGAGAGAGGGAGAGCTGGTGTGGCAGATCCAGCAGCATCTACAGGGAATTAGTAATGTTCTTAATGATGTAGAAAGTCAATGACAGAAACCTGTGCAGAACTGATCCTTTTTTCTGTGACGGTCAGAACTTTGTGGACCAGCTTAAAGAATAAATGCAGCGTGTGAAGATGTCTTACAGCTCCACAACAGCTGCTGTTCATAAAGTCAGACTAGTTGAAAACAGCACTTGAGGTGTCATCATATCATATGGTATAAAATACAATACACTTTGTCTCACAGTAGGAGTTTACTTTTTTCTCCTCTGTTTTCTTCTGATCTCTTGTCTTTTCCATCCTTTTTCCCTTTGTTTCCCTCCCACTACATTCTCACACTCTCCTTCATGCATTTTCATCTTCTGTCTCTCCCCTCTTCTCTACAGGTCATATTGGCCATATGTTTCACATTCATTCCTGCATTTCTGAAGATTATGAACTCTTACTGTCTTCCACCAAATACAGCTTTACAGATGTTTTTATGTGTGTGTGTGTGTGTGTGTGTGTGTGTGTGTGTGTGTGTGTGTGTGTGTGTGTGTGTGTGTGTGTGTGTGTGATGAAAGGTGTCTGAGCGGTTTACCCTGCCGGGTGTAGCTCTGGGGCTGGCCTGGACCCCGCTTGGTGGGGAGATAATGTTCGTGGAGGCCAGTCGAATGGAAGGAGAAGGTCAGCTCACTCTGACCGGTCAGCTGGGAGATGTTATGAAAGAATCCGCCCATCTGGCCATCAGTTGGCTTAGAACGAACGCTAAAACCTACCAGCTCACCAACAGTGAGTTCACGCGCACGTTTTTACATATATATATATATGCTGTACATACCTTTACAGAAACGCAAATAAACTACAGCAAGTACAAACTGTGAAAGAGGCTAATTAACATGCTCTAATAGAATCCATTTGTGTGTGTTTAACAGTGGTGGGTGCTCCAGATCCTTTAGAAGGGACAGACATCCACCTCCACTTCCCTGCTGGAGCTGTCACCAAGGATGGCCCCTCTGCTGGCGTTACCATAGTAACCTGCCTAGCCTCGCTGTTTAGCGGCCGATTGGTCAGATCAGACATTGCCATGACAGGGGAGATCACATTAAGAGGCCTGGTGCTGCCGGTGAGTTATCGCAGTCAACACACATAATAAGGAGTAAATCCACAGTTCGCTGTTTCAACCTACTGGATTGGTCTGTCCTCCTCAGGTGGGCGGGATCAAGGACAAAGTCCTGGCAGCCTACAGGGCAGGAGTGAAGTGCGTCATCCTCCCGAAACGCAACGAGAAGGACCTGGAGGAGCTTCCAGCCAACATCCGAGCCGACCTCGACTTTGTCACCGCCGGAAACCTGGACGAGGTGCTGAACGCCGCCTTCGACGGAGGGTTTCAAGGGACAGCCAGCACACGTGCACCCCCCCAGCTGACCAGTAAACTGTAACACACTGTTTAAAATACACATGCACAGTGACAGTGTGAAGTTAGACAGTGTCCCTGAATAGTCCTAACAGAAGAGAGAGTGGGTTGTCTTTCAGTTTGAGTCTAGTGACTTTTCCCCTGATATGCAGTGGCAGGAGTAAACAGTAAGTAATTCATGTTATTCAATCTTTAAAGGACAACTGAGGGATTTGAACCTTATCTTCACATGTTTTTGGGTGTAAATGGTCCACTGTTGAGGAAGAGCAGTATACCAGGCAACAGCTAAACAGTTGCTGCAATGTACGTCCACTGTAAGTGCTCATATTATATTATAAGTGGGTAGGATTCCTATACGGATAGATCTTTTGTTATAGAGTAAGATCCCTTTTTTTTCTTATTACCAGAAACAGACGTTGTATCACTGTGTTCAAAGCCACCAGACTGTCCTTTTTGTCTCTATTAGTCTTTTCCAAACAAAAACATGGGAAAATAAGGCCCAGGTTCAAAGTTATCCTTCAACCTTTTTTAAGGTTCTTTGCGAGTGAGATTTTATTTTCAGATTATTTTCATATTGACGAGATAATTTGAGGTGAATGAAGCTATGATTTAAGTCTACACGGACATGGACAGTGTACAGTGACTTACTGTCATATGAAGTTACAGCAGCTTATTTTTTAATGCATATTAGCACAGTACACCCACTCACTCATCAACTCAAGAGGACCAGATCCAGCTCACATCGCTGCTGAATATTGTTATGTTGTCTTTTTGGGTTCAGCTGGCTGCTGTACATTTACATTACATTAGCAGCACTGCAATATCCTTGTGAAGAAGGTGTGAGCTGATTAATGCGACAACACACTGGTAAGACACTGCAGCACTGAATGATTGACTTTTGATTGTTCCACAATGTGTGTGCTAAAACGTATTGAAGACACAGTTAATGTTGAACTGGTTTGTATGTGATGAATGATGCTGCTGAGATGTGCTCAGATACCAGGAGCCTGTTTGGAAACTGTGTTCAGTCACTCTTTGTAATTAGTTTGTTTCTGTAACTTTCAGATTTTGGAATTTATTATCTGTGGAAACTTTATGAAAAATAACCACGAAAGATTGCAGTTAGTTTGATAAGTTTATCTTAGAGGTTTAGATGGGTGTGTTGTCTCATCACATCCCACACTGAGGCACTGACTACATCAGGTTTAGATAAAATTTTCTTTGGCCAAATATTCTTATTGTCACAGAATCTTAATCCAAACTGATGTTTCTGGCAGAATGAATCTGACCCATTCAGTGTCTGGAGTCCTCTGTCTCTGTGAGCCAGGATGACATGGTGGTATGGAGCCCCAAAAGTGACAGAGTAGTAACAGCTTATTGCACAAGTCAAAAATAATACTATAAGTGTATTTCATGTTGTATGAACATCAATGAAATATATTGTTGGTTAAATGATTAAATGTTTGTTTGATTACTTTCCCTTTTATCTCTAATCAGTTGATTAAAAAACCAAGAAGCTTATTTTTTGGTTGAAGAGCAAAGGATAAAGCTTTGTATTTCATTTCACTCTCAATTTCAGTTATTTACCTAACAATATTATTCATTGATATATATTTACTTACATTTGTGACTTCTCATGTTTGTTAACTTTATTTTACATCAGGTTGTAATGTTGTCTCCCATAATGCAATAATAATGTACACACAGTACCCTAACCCTGACACACTGACTTGTAGGCAGGTCTGCATCAAATCTGTGTCCTGTGACTTCACTGTAACTATGAGGCTGTGATTATTTGGAAGTGCTGACTAAAAATTGGATTGTAATTCCCGTTGTTAACATGAACGATGTGTGGCAGTGTAGCAAACTTGATGATTTTTTAATGCAATACACTGATTTGATACTAAACCGAGATGCACTTGTGTCCTGTTAGATAACTTTAAAAAAACAAGAGTTGAATTAAAGACGCTTGAAATCTTCAAGAAGTGTTCTTTCATTCCTTCAGATGTTCTTGGATTGAATACACACATGGATATAATTGCATCAGCATGTGTGTTTGTGTACATGCAACTCATCTAAATCCACCCTGAAGCAGAAAAAGTATTCACAACTATGTGCCAGAAATGTGTTTTTTTTTTTTTTCTCTGTCCTGTAATGTGAAACACCAGCATGCAGCGTTTAGACAGCCAGGACAAGATTAATGGACCAGAGCAGAAAATTTCACACAGATACTATACATTCACAAAAGCCAAACACATCAAAAGAATTATGAAAGAAAAACAGACTTTGCATACAACACTTGTCCTGTCTGTAGGGAGAATTGAAATATACTTTGTAGTAACAAAATATGTAAACATCAGTGGTTGGGTGATAATTCTCTGTGGGTTCATCATCAGGAGCAAGCCCATTCACATTACATAGGCCTTTGATCCACTTTCATAAAAAGAAGTTTTAAGTTTTAAGTTTTAGTCATGGCAGCTGTGTGTGTGTGTGTGTGTGTGTGTGTGTGTGTGTGTGTGTGTGTGTGTGTGTGAGAGAGAGAGAGAGAGAGAGAGAGAGAGAGAGAGAGAGACTCTCACATATNCAGAGAGACAGATTCTCACGTATCCATAATTGCTGACTCGCATACTGTCTTACTGTGTTAACCTGTGCATTTATCCAGCACTTTTCTCCTGTTGTTTATTACAGTATAAATTAACTGCATTAGTCACAGCCTGCACTTAGCTCACTGAAGGAGACCTTAATGAACCATGTGCAGGGGTGGACAGAATAACAGGAGCACTTAGCCATATAATGCCGTCCAGCAAAAACAGCTATGAAATAAATGCAACCTTCCTGAATCTAGGAATGTTCTGTTTTAGTTTAGCCCATCAGATAATGGTATTGTTAGTGGTAACTGGATGACTTTTAGTAAAATTTGGAGATAAAGGTAAAACTTTATTACTTTTACTCTTTATCACAGACATAAGAATGAAAATCAAATAATCAAACTCTTAAATTTTAGAGAACTGCAGGGGTCTCTTCAGTTGGTTAAAAGTAGATCCCTGATGACTGCAGTACAGAAACAGAGCCAAGCATGCCTCTGTTTTCTGTCTGTCTGTTGGTCTGTCTGTCTTGCATCAGTTTTGTTTCCATTTCAACCAATTTCTTATTTCTTCATTATAAATATTTATATATTATAAATATATTAAATTGGTGGTAATTATTTCCAGAGATTTAAAGATTTCACATAAATACAATTAAATTTTAATAAATTTAGATATATGTTTTTGCAGATTAACATCCCACTGAATAAAAGTTTTTTTTTTCAAAAGAATATTCAATATGAAAGATTTAGATCAGTGATGTATATTAAAGGCAAAAACTACAAAAAATGTGTACGTCAATTAGTTTATAAGCCATACTGTTCACTATGATTATGTAGTATGGAATCGGGACTCAGCTAAATGGTCAGATTGTCCCCCGTCCCCCTGTCACCACCAACAGTTCCTCGTGTACACAGGAAATATAAAATCTTCCATTAAATATACTGAACACCTTCATTCTCCCCACAGGATATAACCATTTAAAACACAGCTTCCCTGTTGTATCACCATCAGCCCAAAATCTCAACATTTCTTTATTTTTTATTTTGGGTTGTAATAAATGTATGAACCTCAAGAGGCTGCTATTTAGCCCTGAAAGGATCTACCAAAGAGCTCTTGATGCTGAATCTGCACACTGCTCCACTTAAACAGTTCTGTTATGTGGCTGGTGCTCTTCCTGTACTTTGCCACAACACAAGTTACCTCCATGTCTAGGCTTTAATTCATCACATCCCCCCTTCTTGGTCACAACATGAAAAGACCTCACTTTAGTACATGTATGTGCCCTGCATGCATGTTGCAATGACTTCACTGCAGACACACCCAACTTCAGTGAAACCCCAGTATTAGGACTCCCTGTGTAATCCGTCTAGAGTCCACATCCCCCCTAACCACATACATTTCCCCTCTGGTGAATAGAGGACCTTAACCTACACGTAATTACCCAGAGGGTGTGCTGAGCTTACTGGCAACATGCCCACTTCACATGGCTGGGTGCCACCTCCTCCATCCACACCCCTGTTCTTCCATCAGCTAATTTTAGGTGTGAACCCCTGTGACCACATGATGGCAGGAGAAGGGAAATGTAGAAAGGGTTGACCCAAGATGTCTGGAATTGTCTAACCCCGATTCAGCTTCCAAACGATACTGTCTAGTTCGTAATATACTAATATTTTAGAACTGTGAACCACATTTAATGGTCAAATACATAACCTATTATCTATTACTTCAATATAAATGGAGCCCTTAGATTTCTTTGAGGGATGAGGAGGATCATCAGGGAGTGTGCAAAAATTATTGTGTGTGTTGTGTATATTTCACTTTCTAAAAAAGAAAGACCCTCCCCAGCGTTATCAGAATTTTTTGTTTCTTTGACATAGAAACAATACTAAGGAGTCTGCAGCCATGCTCTGTGATGCTGTACGTAGACACACTCATGCTAAATGCTAATATGCTAACAAAGAAGATGTTATCATGCTGATTTTTTAGCATAGTCACCTTCATTAGCTTAGCATTTTAACATTCACTGATTAGCACAAACAAAGCGCAGCTGAGGCTGAGCATTAAGAGCCTGAGAGTCATAGTCCTGTCCTTCCTCACACACAGACCTAATTCTGCTTTTACAAATCCACTTATAGACTGAGTAATGCTTGTTTTTTGTCGGTAGTATACTTCCATACTCACACTGCTGGAGGATGACAATTTTAGCTTGAAAAAAAAATACTTAAAATAAAAGAAAAATTGCAAATTTTTGAAAATAGTAAAAAAAAAAAGAAAAAAAAAGGACATTAAAAAATTGCAGTAACAAAAGCAAATATAATTTCCATCCCTGCTGTTGTGGTGCAAAACAAAGGAATGAATGTTTAGGATTGTTGAAAAATGAAGTTAGAGATAATATTAGATTTTGAGCCAGTCTTGGCTGAACACTTCCTGGCTGTTTGGTCCAAGCGTATTTAAGATAAAATATTTAAGTTATTGGGTTAGCACTATCCAGTTTATTTGTAGCATTTGGAAAGCGCTACTGAGCAACAGGGATTGCAGACACCAGGTAAAAAACTGGCCAATAGACTGCAGACCAAGGCTTCATCTCCGGAGCAGATCCGCTTGTTAGACCCAACCAATGCGGCATCTTGTTTCTTTTGTAGAAAATTCCATGAAAATAACACCATGAATAATAAGATTTTGTTATACCTTACAATAATATGACTTTTTTACCTTACTATACTATGACTTTCTAATGACTTTTTTTGCCTTACTATTCAATGTCGTTTTTATGAATTTTTATGCCTTATTATACTATGACATTTATATGACTTTTTATGCCTTACTATACTATGACTTTTCTGCCTTACTATACTATGACCTTTTTATGACTTTTTATGCTTTACTATACTATGTCGTTTTTATGAATTTTTATGCCTTATTATACTATGACATTTATATGACTTTTGATGCCTTACTATATTATGACTTTTTTGCCTTACTATACAATGTTGCTTTTATGACTTTTTTGCCTTAATATTCTATGACGTTCTTATTACTTTTTTTTCCTTACTATACTATGTCGTTTTTATGACTTTTTATGCCCTACTATACTATGACTTTTTATGCCTTACTATACTGTGACTTTTTTATGCCTTTTTATGCCCTACTATACTATGACTTTTTATGCCTTACTATACTGTGACTTTTTTATGCCTTTTTATGCCCTACTATACTATGACTTTTTATGCCTTACTATACTGTGACTTTTTTATGCCTTTTTATGCCCTACTATACTATGACTTTTTATGCCTTACTATACTGTGACTTTTTTATGCCTTTTTATGCCCTACTATACTATGACTTTTTATGCCTTACTATACTGTGACTTTTTTATGCCTTTTTATGCCCTACTATACTATGACTTTTTATGCCTTACTATACTGTGACTTTTTTATGCCTTTTTATGCCCTACTATACTATGACTTTTTATGCCTTACTATACTGTGACTTTTTTATGCCTTTTTATGCCCTACTATACTATGACTTTTTATGCCTTACTATACTGTGACTTTTTTATGCCTTTTTATGCCCTACTATACTATGACTTTTTATGCCTTACTATACTGTGACTTTTTTATGCCTTTTTATGCCCTACTATACTATGACTTTTTATGCCTTACTATACTGTGACTTTTTTATGCCTTTTTATGCCCTACTATACTATGACTTTTTATGCCTTACTATACTGTGACTTTTTTATGCCTTTTTATGCCCTACTATACTATGACTTTTTATGCCTTACTATACTGTGACTTTTTTATGCCTTTTTATGCCCTACTATACTATGACTTTTTATGCCTTACTATACTGTGACTTTTTTATGCCTTTTTATGCCCTACTATACTATGACTTTTTATGCCTTACTATACTGTGACTTTTTTATGCCTTTTTATGCCCTACTATACTATGACTTTTTATGCCTTACTATACTGTGACTTTTTTATGCCTTTTTATGCCCTACTATACTATGACTTTTTATGCCTTACTATACTGTGACTTTTTTATGCCTTTTTATGCCCTACTATACTATGACTTTTTATGCCTTACTATACTGTGACTTTTTTATGCCTTTTTATGCCCTACTATACTATGACTTTTTATGCCTTACTATACTGTGACTTTTTTATGCCTTTTTATGCCCTACTATACTATGACTTTTTATGCCTTACTATACTGTGACTTTTTTATGCCTTTTTATGCCCTACTATACTATGACTTTTTATGCCTTACTATACTGTGACTTTTTTATGCCTTTTTATGCCCTACTATACTATGACTTTTTATGCCTTACTATACTGTGACTTTTTTATGCCTTTTTATGCCCTACTATACT